CTCTGAGATCATGACCTGAACTGAAACCAAGAGGTGGATGTTTAACCAACTGAGCCACCCAGGTGCCCCTGATGGACTTGACGTTAAATGCCATGTTGGCTATATATTGAAGACTCATATGAGGGGATCCCCAGGTGGCTCAGTGGTTTAGTGCCTGCCTTTGGCCCAGGGCGTGATCCTGGAATCCCGGGATCGAGTCTCACATCAGACTCCCTGCATGGGGCCTGCTTGTGTCTCTACCTCTCTCTCTCTCTCTCTCTCTCTCTCTCTCTCTCTCTCTGTGTGTGTCTCTCATGAATAAATAAATAGAATCTTAAAAAAAAAGACTCATATACATTTGTATTTGTTTCCAAACTCTCTATTTTGTGCCATTGATACCTGTCTATGACAATGCTCTACTGTTTTGAGCTTTATTATAGGGTCTAATATCTGGTTGGACAAGACCTTTGTGACTATTTTTTTTTAATCTCATGACATGTTCTTGGCAATGCCTGGACATTTATCCTTCCATATGAATTTGTTTTTTTAATATTTTTTTCTTTATTTATTTATGATAGTCACACACACAGAGAGAGGCAGAGACACAGGCAGAGGGAGAAGCAGGCTCCATGCACTGGGAGCCAGACGTGGGATTTGATCCCGGGTCTCCAGGATCGCGCCCTGGGCCAAAGGCCGGCGCCAAACCACTGCGCCACCCAGGGATCCCTGATTTTTTCCCTGTTATATGCATTTTCAGATCATTTTTACCCAGCTTTATTATTTTATTTATTTATTTATTTTTTCTATGCAGCTTTAAAAACAAAAATCTTATTGGGATTTCTCATTGTGATTGTTTTAAATTTAAAATTTACTTTGGGATGGACTGATATTCAGTAAACAACATGGTATATCTATTTGTGTAAGTATTTAAAGCAACTCCATGTAAATAAATAAACCATAGAGAGAGATCATTTGCCTTAAAAAGTGCTTTGGGAGCTCCAATCCTCAAGGGCTAAGTGAGTCTCTTTATTTCAACCCACCACTGGTTGAACAGACTCAGTTGCCCTTAGAAAATTTGACTTCTGGGGATCCCTGGGTGGCTCAGCGGTTTAGCGCCTGCCTTCAGCCCAGGGCGTGATCCTGGAATGCTGGGTTCGAGTCCCGCATCAGGCTCCCTGCACGGAGCCTGCTTCTCCCTCTGCCTGTGTCTCTGCTTCTCTCTCTGTGTCTCTCATGAATAAATAAATAAAACCTTTAAAAAAAAAAGAAAATTTGACTTCTTACATCATGTTATTTTGCTTTTACTCCTATGTGTCTCTCTGTGGGTCCTTGGCACACATCCCCATTTTCTAATCCCCATTCTACAGAAGGAGAAATAAGAGCTCAGAGAGGTGGAGCGATGTGCCAGGATGGCACTAGAGCTAGCAGTCATAGCGCTGGCCTGATGCCCAAGCTTCTTCCAGGAAGCTGCTATATTCTGTCTTGGTGCTAATCTTTGCCTTCTCAAGGGCCATGGTGCTTCTGTTCTCTTTGGCAGCTCCTCAAACAACCTCGACATCCAGGCACAAGGTGGCACTTGGTGAGGGAGCTGCAACCCTGGGCCAGTCTATTGTTCCCAAGGAAAAAAGCTACCAACAGATGACAGGTTCCACTCTCTCATGAAGCTGCCTTAGGGATTTAAAAATAAAACAACAAAAACCTTTCTCAGAGTGAGCAGCTGCTTTCAGCTGCTCACTCTTCTGTCCTGCTTCCCTGGGCTGTGGCTTTGCCTGTCTGAATCTGACCCAATCTTCCAAGCCCAACTTAAACACCACCTCCTCTATGGTGCCATCCTCCTGGTGCCATCTTCCTTCCTCCAGGCTCTTTTGTCCCCACTGTGCTAGGTATGACCCACCTTCCTTGGAATACATTCACTTGCCATGAATGTCTTGAAATAGCTAAGTAGTTGATCTCTCTGAGCCTCAATTATTTTCTTTGAAAAATGAAAATAATGTCTGCCTTATAAGGCTGTTGTGAGTTAAAAGAAATAACATGTAAATCATAGCTTTGCTTGGGGCTCTTAAATATGTAAGTCTTAAATATGTAAGTCTGATGTTATGATTCTCAGACACATGCCCACACAGTCCCATACATTTACACAGATTTTGTCTGTTTTGTTAGGGCCCTTATCCTTTCTACTTTATATAATGATTACTTGTATTGACAGTAGGCCAATGGCCTTGGGGTTAGGGATGAGAGGGTGTAGTGAAAAGAAACAGGATTTGGAATCAAAAGATTTGGGTCTGCCCCTATGTGGGTGAGAACAAGTTACTTCTTCCTGAGTTTCTTCCTTAATAAAAAAGAGACAACAGGGGTGCCTGGGTGCTGAGTTAGTTAAGGAGTTAAGCATCGGACTCTTGATTTCAGCCCAGGTCATGATCTCAGGGTAATGAGATGAAGGCCTCCCTCACCCCATTGGGCTCTCTCCCGACTCCCACTCTCTTTTTTAGAGAGAGTGAGAGAACAACAAAATGTGCTGTATAGTCTCTCCATATACTCTATCACAATGAGATAATGGATACTCAAGGGCTTTAGAGATTGCCAAGCGTTAATGTATAATTATTCAATTGCCCTGTTTCCCAGAAGCCCAGCACATTGCCTTGGTGGGGGTAGGAGGGGTGTGCACAAGGATTTTTGAAATAAGAAGGCCATAGCACTGAGTTCATTTGATCTTCACAGTTGCCCTATGAGATACGCTTTGATGTCCTCATTTCAAAAACCAGCAAACTGAGGTGTGAAGGGGGTAGAGTGCTTCACTTGTTCATTGATTCATTCAGCAAACCTTTGCATGAGAACCATCATGCATCAGATACTCAGACATTGGGGATACAAAGACAAAATCCCTCCCTCACAGTCCATAGTGGAGGACAGGCACACAAAGATAAGTATAACACAAGGCAGGTCATGAATTATGGCTAATATTTATCAAGTACGTACTAAATGCCAGTCACTACAGCAAGCTCTCAGTGTTTCACTCATTCAGTCTTCCCCAGACTCTACTAGCTAAGTACCATTATTATGGACATTTCTGAGCTATCCATAAATAAGGCATTGTGATTACTTTAGCTTTCATAAATAGCAACTGGCAGAGCCAGAGGCCCCACCTTAACCACCAAACTCTATCACCTCTGATAGTAAGGTAGCACACAGACATTGTCAGAGTCCCAAGGAGGGACCCCTAACTCAGTCTGGGGTTCATGATGGTCAGGAGAGGTTTCCTGAATGACTAGAAATTAGCTAAGCAGAGGTGCATTGGAAGCTAGGCTACCCCAGGAGAGGGAAAGTTATGTAGGCTGATGTAGGAAAGATGTTAGGGTTTGAAGCCTACAGCCAAGAAAGAATTCTTGAGGCAGCTTTGTTGCAAAAAGGTGGGTTTTTCAAAGCACAAGGGCCAGACCCTTGGGCAGAAAGAGCTGCCTTGGGATCCTGAGAAGGTGCCCGTTATATGCTTTCAAGTTGGGAAGGGGTTAAGGCTAGCATAAGTCACTAAGGAATTTTAAGGAATTTTGGAAGCAAGATTTCCAAGACCTTGTGGGGGCTAGGTATTGTTGGGAAAAGGTCATTTATTACTGTCTAATAAAACCTTAGTCATGAGGCCCTTCAGATGTGTATTGGTGGGTCATATGCTTTGGGAGTGATTGCTAACATGTATCTTGTGGTGGGAGAGAGATAAAGGAAGTTTCCAAAGCAATTTTTAAAAAAGATTTTATTTATTTATTTGAGAGAGAGAGAGAGAACATACACAAGCAGGGTGGAGAGGCAGGCAGAGGGAGAGGGAGAAGCAGGCTCCCAGCTGAGCAGGGAGCTCGATGCGAGGCTTGATCCCAAGTCTGGGAGATCATGACCTGAGCAGAAGACAGATGCCTAACCGACTGAGCCACCAAGCACCTCTCCAAAGGAATTTTTATATGTTAAAGTAGACTTACAGGATCGTGGAGGTCAGGCTAAGATTGCCTTTTGCTCTTAACAAAGTATTACCATGGAGGCAGCTGAGTTCCTAGAGGAATGTCACTCTGCCTGTTTTAAGGACTTATCAATGGGGTGTAAGTAGTAAGTAAATTTAATAATTCTCTTACCTTTGTTTCCCACATCAGAGGCCACCTAATGGAAGTCTATACAGCATCCCAGGCAGGCAGGGACTGGGGTTTGTGAGGAGACTGTAGATCAGGAAGGGACAGTCTAGAAAGGAGAGTGGTCCATATTCTAGAGGTCGCCAGAGGTATGAAGGGTTTTAAAGAGGAAAGACTTGGTTAGATTTTTAGAAAGATCAGGATGCCTGGGTGGCTCAGTGGTTGAGCGTCTGCCTTTGGCTCACAGTGTGATCCCGGGGTTCCTGGAGTGGAGTCCCGCGTGGGGCTCCCCACGAAGAGCCTGCTTCTCCCTCTGCCTGTGTCTCTGCCTCTCTCTCTGTGTCTCTCATGAATAAATAAATAAAATCTTAAAAAAAAAAAAAAGATTTTTAGGAAGATCATCTGGGCAGCTGGGTAGAGGTAGATGACAGGGAGAGGTCTCCCTGACTCAGTAATCTAGACTCCAGCTGATGGTGGTCTGGACAAGGACTCTGGCAGGGAAGAGGATATAAGAGAGATTCAGGGGCTGAATTTTCCGGGTGATGATCATTTGGGGGTTAAGTAAAGAGGACCGGGAGCAATTTTCAAAGACTTGCAGTTTTGGCTCCTAATCCAGGGGAATGGGGGTGATTTGATAAAGTCAGTTTGGGATGCAATCCAGGTCGTCTGGCTCCCTTTCCCCGTGCCCTTTCGCCTCCTGGCGCCGCCAGCGACAGTGGCCCAGTCGGGGGCCCCGGGTGAATTGCTGCAGCTGGGCTGGGCAGCCGCGCTCGCGGCTCTGGATCCCTTCCGGCGGCGGCGGCCCCTGCAGTGCGCCCTCCTAGGCTCCAGAGGGCGCGCTCGCACACGCTCGGGCCGCTCTGGCCCCGCGGGTCTCAGTGGCCGCGGAAGGTGACGTGGACACGGAAGTGGTCGTCGTCGCGGCGGCACCGGTGGGAGCGGGGCGCGGGGCTCCGAGTGCAGCGGGCGGGCGGGCGGGCGGACGGCGGCGTCTCGCGCCTGCGGCGGCGGAGCAGCGCACGTTGTCGGTTGGCTGCGAGTCCGCCGAGCCGGCCCGCGGCTTCTCAGCCTCTCTTTGGTCCGTCGGAGCCCCCGAGCCGGGACCGCTCTGCCGGCGTCACCATGACCAAGGCCGGGAGCAAGGGCGGGAACCTCCGCGACAAGCTGGACGGCAACGAGCTCGACCTGAGCCTCAGCGACCTGAACGAGGTCCCGGTCAAGGAACTGGTCAGTACCGCGCCGCGAGGCCCAGGTGCCCGCCCGAGCCTGGCGCTGGCCCGCTGGCCCCGGCCGCCTCCTTTCCCGTGCCTCAGTCTCCAGATCTTAAAACTGGGTGGGGGGGTGGGACTGAGTCCCCGGGGAGCCCCCCCGCCCCCCCAGTTTCCTTCCTGGGATGTACACGTGTCACTTTGGCGTGGTTCCAGAAGACGAGAAGGCGCTGCTTGCTCGACCCCAGGTTTTTTTTTACGGGTCGGGAGTCCACCTCCCTCGTCCTGGGGGGGCTTCCACAGCGCTGGGCTCCGTGTTTGACTCCAAGGAGGCGCCCACGGAGTGGTTGCTGGCTGTTGGGGGAATGAATGAACAAATGAATGAATGACTCGTCCGAGAAGTAGGCCTCCGTTGAGACCTGGGTGTGGCCCGGAACTGTGCATTTCTGGGAAGCCGGCAATCCCAGCTGCCTGCCCCAGCCCTGAAGTATCGCTGCTTGGCTGGCAAGGGCTCTTCCCAACTCAGCTTAAACTGGCTGGAATCCAGTTGCTTCTGCCCACTCCACGGCCCCTCTACTCCCACTCTCCCAGCCAGGAAACCGAGGCCTGAAGTCCCAGAAAATGACACAACTAGGCTGCTGCCAGAGTGATGTTAGGTCATAGGTCCCTGCTTTTCCCACCAGGTTTCCTACAGGCACACTCCTACCGGTAACCTACGCTTTCCTCCCTGCCTTTAACGAATTACATTTGCTTTTGGCATTTGATTCTGTAGTATGGAGGTTGGAACGGATTTCCAGTTCGTATTCCAGGTCCGTTGCTTAATAGCTGCGTGCCCTTGGCAAGCTAGTTAACCTTTATGCCATAGATTTCCTCATTAATAAAATGGTGATAATAGTTCCCATCTTACAGGGAAGATTGATTGCATTCAGAAGTGCTTGGTAGGTAGTGAATGCTGATGCATGCAGCTATTATTGCTACTACTACTACATTATATTTCAGTGCTGATTTCTTTTTTTTTAATATTTTACTTATTTATTCATGATAGACATAGAGAGAGAGAGAAAGAGAGGCAGAGACACAGGCAGAGGGAGAAGCAGGCTCCATGCCGGGAGCCTGACGCAGGACTCGATCCTGGGACTCCAGGACGGCGCCCTGGGCCAAAGGCAGGCACCAAACCACTGAGCCACCCAGGGATCCCCTCAGTGCTGATTTCTAAAGGCCTCCCTAATTGTGGGAATTTTCTCTGGAAAATGCTTCATGTCACTGAACCGTTCCACATGTTGGTTTGACATTTTGTTCTCGTTCCTTTTCCTAGGCTGCCCTCCCAAAGGCCACCATTCTGGATCTGTCCTGCAATAAACTGACAAGTCTACCGGTAAGATCGGCAGGCAAGCACAATTCCTTCTAGAGTACTGATGGCTTCTTGTTTGAGGGTGTTATGTCGTAAGGCGTAATTTCAGGACGGCCCTGCAGACAGGCTATAACTGAATGGTACATGCTGGGATGGTTTGTCTCAGCAAGAAGGGAAGCATGGTAGAAGCTTCATTTTTTAGAACAGTGGGGAAGTCAGGCCAATGAAAAACTAAAGTCAACAGATTTACAGGCTGAATCACTCCATCTTTTTTTCTGCCTTATTTTATTCCTTTGAAAAGTAGTTTGCCTCCCTTTTGTGGAGAGGAGAGGCCATTCTCTAAGTTTGTCTGCATTCCAGAGAGAAAGATTTATTTATTTATTTATTTATTTATTTATTTATTTATTTATTTATTTATTTATTTACGATAGTCATACAGAGAGAGAGAGAGAGAGAGAGAGAGAGAGAGGCAGAGACACAGGCAGAGGGAGAAGCAGGCTCCATGCACCGGGAGCCTGAAGGGGGATTCGATCCTGGGTCTCCAGGATCGCGCCCTGGGCCAAAGGCAGGCGCCAAACCGCTGCGCCACCCAGGGATCCCGAGAGAAAGCTGTTTATAAACAACAACCTCTATCTTTCGATGGGGAACAGGAAAAATAATGTGACTTTCAGGGACTACCGTATCATTATTCTCCCCACCCTTGAATTACTTGAGACACTTTTTCGACACAGCCAGCCTGTGGTCAGGTCTTTTTGATTTTTCTTGCACAACTCCTCCCAGTTCTCCATTGTATTCTTTGTGATGTCTTCAATTCACAGTCCTTTACCTGGGTAGGCCCCAAGTGGTTCCACCCTTCAAGCCTCTCCAGGGCGATGGTGGCAGGTCTGTTGCTGTTGTCGTCTTTTTGCAGTGATCACCCTGGCTGTGTCACTCCCTGCCTGGCTCCACTGGGCTCTGCTTGGGGATCAGGTCGCAGAAGTTGGCAGTTGCTTCATTGGATCATTAGTCTGTTTCCCTGTCAGTATTCCCCTGAGCCTCACTCATTATCTCTAGGATGTTTCTGAAGCTCAGCAAGAACCGTTTCTCACACTGAAAAAGCATCTGAGGTCCCACTGCTTCTAGAAAGCATGTCGTGTCTAATAAAAGTATGGTGGCAAGTCCTAGCAGCTGGCCACTGCCTGTGTCGTCAGTAGTCACACAGTGCCCCCGCAATGCCGCGTACCCCCCCCCCCCGCCAGTGTGCTCTTCAGTCTGTTCAGTCTGAGTGTGTTCAGTTGTTTGTGCCTTCTCAGCACAGATCCGCTGGTGATTATAGGCCCCCAGAGAGCAGGAGTCATGCCTCTGCGCCCAGGTTGGAACGTCACTGCAGAGCAGTACTGTGCTAGGTGCTGCAAAAAACAGAGAATACCACAGAGTACTTGAGAGGCACTTGATCTTTTTGGGGAAATGGATGGTCATGCTGTGCTTTGACCACTCCTGTGAAAGGAGAACATAGGGTGCTGTGGGGGGACGAGCAGGGCCTCCTGTAACAATGTGGAGGATCGCCTGGGGGCGTGCACAGATCATGAGGAAACACACTTTTTCTTGTGCCTACTTTGTGCTAAGTCCTTGTATGTACACATCTTACTACTTACCAGCAGAAGTGCTGGGTGTTGGTTGCATCTCCTTCAAGGTGGAAGAGCGGATGGCAGGTAGGGTCAGGGTTTACAGGCAGTCGCCTCTGCCTTGAAGGCTTCTGCATCATCATACCGAGATGTGAGCCCATGGCTTGAATGTTGTCCCTCTGGGTCCTAGGCGGAATTTTGTGGCCTCACACACCTGGTGAAGCTGGACCTGAGTAAGAATAAACTGCAGCAACTGCCGGCAGACTTTGGCCGTCTGGTCAACCTCCAGCACCTGGATCTCCTCAACAACAGGCTGGTGACCCTGCCTGTCAGCTTCGCTCAGCTCAAGGTAACAGTGTTTCGTCCTAGGGAGGTGGAGCCTGGTTGTGAGAGCGGCTGGCAGGAAGACCACTCGTTGGTGCCACCTCAGAGGGATGGCTTTCCCTGCAGCTGGCACACGCAGGGGCTTTCTTCCTGCTCATTTTGTCTACCTTGAGGGACTCTGTGTGTGAACTTGGGCTTGAGCGGCCTCTCTGTCTTCTCTCTTCAGAGCCTGAAGTGGCTGGACCTAAAGGATAACCCCCTGGACCCTGCCCTGGCCAAAGTGGCTGGGGATTGCCTGGATGAGAAGCAGTGTAAGCAGTGTGCTAACAAGGTATGCACGGAGCTCCCCAGCATCCCCTCTGCATGGTCCCCTAGGACTCATGTCTGCCTCCTCTTGCTTTTCCCTCCCAGGGCACCTGGAGCTGGGAGAGGTTTCCAGCACTAAGGTCTCAGTGAAATATGTCTACTCTGAGCCTGTCAGGCAGAGGGACCTTTGTCTCTGGGTTTACTTTACAAGAAGCAGAACGGTACTGGCTTCTCTACTGTAAAATTTTTATTTTATAGAAACCAGGACCTTACCTAATCAACATTACACTATTGACAGTTCTTTCTTTTTTTAAAGATTGTTTATGGGACGCCTGAATGGTTCAGCGGTTAAGCACCTCCCCCTGGCTCAGGGTGTGATCCTGCAGTCTTAGGATTGAGTCCCACATCAGGCTCCCTGCCTGGAGCCTGCTTCTCCCTCTGCCTACATCTCTGCCTTTCTCTTTCTGTGTCTTTCATGAATAAATGAATAAAATCTTTAAAAAAAAGGATTATTTATTCATGAGAGACAGAGACAGAGAGAGGCACAGAGACATAGGCAGAGGGTGAATCAGGCTCCATGCAGGGAGCCTGATGGGGGACTCGATCCTAGGACTCCAGGATCATGCCCTGAGCGGAAGACAGACACTTAACCGCTGAGCCACCCAGGCGTCCCTTGACAGTTCTTTAAATGGGACGAGAAGATTAGAGACTGTGGCCTTTCTGAGTCATGGTTATCATGACAAAGAAGTTTTGTTAATATTTGTAAGCTTATACCTGTAAGCAGACATATCCTAGGCAGATGGGACATGTGATTTCAGTCGAGTGGTCTGATGCAGGAGCAAGGAATAAAGGCAGTATGGAAGGCAGAAATTATCGGCAGCCCTAAAGGTGCCTCACACTGCTTCTCTCTCTCTCTCTCTCTCTTTAAATATTTTGAGAGAGAGAACATGCACGAGCAGCGAGGGACAGAGGCAGAGGGAGAGAACCCTAATCAGGCGCCATGCTGAGGCTCAGTTATACAACCCTGAGATCATGACCTGAGCTGAAATCAAGAGTTGGACACTTGACCAATTAAGCCCCTCAGGTGCCCCATGCCTTGCACTGATTCTTTTTTTTTTCCCTCGCACTGATTCTTAAGCATCTCTCAGATGCCAGCTACGGTCACTTTTTCCCTCCAGCTTTGGAACAGCTGAGCACCAGATGGCTTACTTGGCCATATTTAGGAGGCATGATGAACAGAAAGGACTTGAAATCCTTTCACTTTAAATGATAGAATTATTGGAAGTGAAATGTGGGCACGGTGGGTCTCTAGATGAATCTCCGGAATAATGGCCTTTCTTTTCTTTTCATTAGTTCAGGGCGTCTTAGAAAGTCTCATCATGTATCTCACCCATTGTCACAGGAGACCAGGTACAAGGTCTGGGCAGCCAGGTAGCCACGGCAACAGCTGGCCTATAGCTGAGAACAGTACAAGTGATCAGTGAAGTCCTGGTGCTTTAGGAGTGATGTCTGTTCTGAAGAATAGCAGGAGCTGTCACCCACCACTCTTCCTTTGTCCTACATGCTTTATGCTTCACCTCATGATCTTCATAACCCTGTGAAGTAGAGCTCACTTCCATTTCTCTGATATAAACGCTCACTGTGCACACAGATTTCATTTATCCGTTTATTCATTCAACTAATATGCTAAACTGTATGAAATTGCTGATGCTCCACAAAGATCATTTTTACTGAGCACAAAGATCTTAGCATTAGCATATAGCTTCCAGACAGAGCACCAGGTAGGACACTGCATTGTGGGTATGGTAACTGAAGCCATGTTCCCTGGCTCCTCAGCCTAGTGTGGCCTCCCGCAGCACACCATGAGGAGGCATAGTGGAGTGGCTTGGGCTGGCTAGAATGAGGTCACTTGTCCCCTGGGGTTAGTTTAACCCTCAACAGCTCTGACCTTGTATTGGTGCATGGGTCATTTGCAGTAACTGATAAGCTTCGTGCACAGTACAGCACCTTTTAAAAATAACTTGTTAGGGTCACCTGGGAGGTTCAGTGGTTTAAGCGTTTACCTTCGGCTCAGGTCATAATTGATCCCAGGGTCCTGGGATCAAGCCCCACATTGGGCTTCCTTGTCAGTGGGGAGCCTGCTTCCCCCTCTCCCTCTGCTTGTGCTCTCTCACTCTGTCAAATAAGTAAATAAATAAAATCTTAAAAAATAAAAATAACGGGCAGGCAGCCCAGGTGGCTCAGCGGTTGAGCGCCACCTTTGGCTTAGGGTGTGATCCTGGAGTCCCAGGATCGAGTCCCATGTCGAGCTCCCTGCATGGACCCTGCTTCTCCCTCTGCCTGTGTCTCTGCCTCTCTCTTTCTTTTTCTTTTTTTTTTTTTTTTAAAGATTTTATTTATTTATTCATAGAGATGCAGAGAGAGAGAGAGAGAGAGAGAGAGGCAGAGACACAGGCAGAGGGAGAAGCAGGCTCCATGCAGAGAGCCCGACGTGGGACTCATCCAGGGTCTCCAGATCATGCTGTGGGCTGCAGGCGGCACTAAACCACTGCGCCACCGGGGCTGTCCTGCCTCTTTCTTTCTCTCTGTCTCTCATGAATAAATAAAAATCTTAAAAAAAAAACATAAAATATTTTAAAAAAAGAAATAAAAATAACTTGTTAGCTGGACAGTATTTAATAAGTGCTTACTGTGTGCTGTGGACTGGGATAGGCAGAAAGAATTGGCCTTCAGGGGCTCCCAGTCCAGAGCAGAGGAATTGCTCCCATTTCTGAGCTTGCTGTGTTGTCAGATAACTCTTGATGCATTGGAGCACAGGGAAATGGGATGTCTCTAAAGCCTCTGGGCTCTTTATTTAGCCACCTGTACACCCCTTAAAACCACCAGAATGGTTGGTGCTTAATATTTGGAGTTCAGAGTGAGACAGGGACTTTGAACTGGGGCCACCTCCCACCATCAGGCTTGACCTTCCAACAGATCCTGCACTCCTTTATTGAGTGGCCATTGTTTAGTGAGGGTGACTCCCTTCCGAGAAGTTGCAGCAGGTTCAAGGCCTGGATGGCCCATGACAGGGTTCCTCGTGGCTTCAAAGCAGGCTCTTGCAGGGAGCCCAGGAGGTTAAGTCACTTGCGAAGGTCACACAGGAGCAGTAGAGTCGGATTGTGCTGGGCTCTAAGCTTTCACTCTGTGCTCTACATCCAAGGGATACCAGCTTCTAAAGATACAAACAAACCTAAAAAATAAAGTCTTCTACCTCCTCCCCTAACCATAGTGAGAATCTCTAGGGCCGTTTCAGTCAGAGGCCATTGTGACTTGAGTGGATGAGGATTTGAGGGGCTCTGGGTGCCAGGGCTTTGTCTGCTATATGGGCCGAATGGCTCTTCCCTTCTTCCTAGAGGCTTCTTTGCTCTGTATGCTGATGTGAGTGGGACAGACTCTGGCCCAAGAGCTCCAAGACCTGTACTCTTAGCTGTGCTACTTTGTAGCTATGTGAAGTAGACAGGTCACACACAGGCATGGGCAGGACATAGACACACACACACACACACACACACACAGCCCCCGCCAACCTCAGCCTTGGCTTTTTTCCTCTTGAAATGGGGATCCAGTCAGTTGTTCATCGGACATGTATTGAGTATTTAGCTTGCAGATGGGATAGCAGTCTCCACCTTAGGGAACCTAGTGTTATGACCGAGAGAGGTAAGAAGCCTCCCAGGACAGGGAGGAGGGGAAGTTCCATAAGGTAGCCAAGGGAGTGACATTGAGAAGTCTCGGGGGAAGTGCTGTCTCTGCTCATCACCACAGTTGCTGAAGGATTACATGGGATCATGCATGTGACAGTAACTGTAAAGAACAGGACTCTGTCTACACACTCCAGTCGGCACTGGGTTTCACAGATGTGTTTGCTCACAACTTTAGTGACCTGGGCATGAATGACCCTTCTCCAACTAAGGCTGGCACCGTGCGTTAGGAGACAGACAGGATCGCCTCCCTTAGCTCTGCGTTACCGCAGGGCTCTGCTGGACTGAAGAGAGCAGTGTCACTTTTTAAACATTTTTATTTATTTGACACCAAGAGAGAAAGAGTAGGCATGCACATGAGCGGGGGGGGGGGGGCAGAGAGAGAGGGAGAAGCAGAAGCAGACTCCCCTGCTGAGCAAGTAGCCTGATGTGGGGCTCGTTCCCAGGACTTGGAGATCATGACTGAGCCAACAGCAGACGCTTAACCACCTGAACCATCTAGATGCCCTTAACAGTGTCACTTGTGAGCCTCCTGAGCAAACATGTGCCGTGGGGCCCCCTGTGCGGGGCATTTCAGCACTCTTTTTCCTCTGCAGGTGTTACAGCACATGAAGGCTGTGCAGGCAGACCAGGAGCGAGAGAGGCAGCGGCGGCTGGAAGTAGAACGAGGTACGTGCCATCCCTCCTCTGCCAGCTTCCTGTCCTCCACCCAGCCTCTGACTCACATGTGCCAGGAGCTGGGGTCCATGGAAGCATCATGAAGAGCAGCAGGGAGCAGTGTGGCAGTGTAGGATATCAGCTTTGTCCAATGGGTCTGTCTCTAGTCCTGGCTTCTCCACCAAGCTCCAGAGTCCCACTGCCTGCTAGGAGGTTTAAGACACATTTTAAAACTTAAGCATGGCCAAGACAGGCAGTCACCATTCCTGCACTTATTCAAGCCTGAAATTGCAAAGATGTCCAGGATGCCTTTCTTCAGTTACTCTGGTATTTGGTCTAGCTGAGTCCTGTGTGTGATGCTTCCTCCCCGTCCAGGCCACCTGCAGCTCAGCCACCATGGTCTACACGGCCCAGTGCTTCCCAGCTCCGTGTCCTGTCTCCACACTTGGGCCTCCTCCTCATGGCAGCCAGGGAGATCTTTTTAAAAAAGAAGTCAATTATACTGCTGTTGGCCTAAAACACTGTAATGGCTTCTGTCGCCAACAAGACCCACAATGGCCCCAGCCTGCTTGCTTCCAGCTCTGTCCCACAGCCAGGGGAGAGAGAATGCTGGTAACTCCAGCTGCACGAGCGCCTGTGGGTACTCGAGCACACCAAGTCAGCTCTGACTTCAGGGGCTATGCCTGGTTTCTTTCCCCTCAGGTCTTCACCTGGCTGGGTTCATGTGCTTCCTCGTGTCTTCAAATGTGGCATCAGAAGCACCGGGATTTGGGTCGCTGTCCTGCCTCTTGCTCCATCACAGTCTCTCTCTTACTCTCTCTCTGGCATACATCGTTGCTTTTTTTTTTTTTTTTTTTTTTTTTTTTTTTACTGTTTGTTCACTTGTTTGTCTCCATCTCTAGAAAGCTTTAGACACTGGATCAGACGAGATCGGGTGTGTTCAGGATGGTATGGCCGTAGACTAGGCACTAGAACCTGACTTGTGTTCACTGTTCCATCTCAAGCACTTTTTTTTTTTAAGATTTTATTTCTTTATTCATGAGAGACACAGAGGGAAAGGTAGAGACACAGGCAGATGCTCAATCACTGAGCCACCCAGGTGCCCTATCTCGAGCACTTAGAACAAGGCTTGGTGCACAGTAGGTGTTCCATGGACTGGCTGGCTTCTGGCTCCCTGACTGGAGGATTCCTGTGGTTGGGGAGGGACAGGCATGGTCCCCAAGTGACACTGGGTCCTTTTATATGTGTGGCTGCTGTGATGCCATGTTTCCTTGGACCACTGCTGCTTGTCCTCTTGCTGCCACATGCTCTCTCCAGGCTGGGTGTAGCGTGCCCTGGGAGTTTTCAGTGCCCGGGCTGGAACTTGGAGCTAGTTTGTACATAGAAAAGCAGTGGAAAGCTCCAGTACTTGGCGTACTACTGTTCAGCTATATTGGTCACATAGGCTTTTAAGCCCTAAAAGGACATTTGACTCCCTAATTTGTGGCATCCCGGCTTTGGAAAAATGTACTTCAGGCTTCCAAATAACCAATTTGAAAGTGCATTTTTAGAAGCCAGTGATTTGTAAGCTGGGTACTGGATGTAAATGTACTAGAACCATGAAGTAAGTCAGAACGTGTCACAGACTCCTGGGTTGGAAGTGTAGAGGTACCCTCTGACGAATTTGTCTTGCTTCCTCAGGAAAACACTTCATCCCCTCTCACCATGAACTTGAGTGCTCACTTTCTCTTCTTCTTTGCCCTTCCCATGCTATGTTCCTTTTTGAAGCTTGGGAAGATAGGAATGCCGTAGAATCCACACACCCGGTGTCTCCTCTTCACAGCCAAGTTGTATGAGGCTGTCGCTTTCTCAATCCCTTGGCTTGTCACCCATGTCTTTCTCATGTGGCCCTTGTTACATTGCCCTAACATCTGCTGCACAGGGCTAGGGACCCTTTAATCTACTCAGTAAACCCTCAGAGTAGCTTATTGCACCTGAGGGAGGGCCTACTTCCCCAAGAGCGGAGAGACCATTGTTTCCTCTTACTACAGTTTACGTGACCTGTGGCATAAGGGAGAGGGGGGCGAACCCAAGCTTTTAGTTACTCTGGAAGGTACTCTCGCAGGTTTGGGGGTGCGAAGTCATTTTGCTATGCATTTTCCTGTAGAGGCGGAGAAGAAGCGGGAGGCCAAGCAGCGAGCTAAGGAGGCCCAGGAGCGAGAGCTGCGGAAGCGGGAGAAGGCAGAGGAGAAGGAGCGCCGAAGAAAGGAGTACGACGCCCTCAAAGCAGCCAAGCGGGAGCAGGAGAAGAAGCCCAAGAAGGAGACGAATCAGGCCCCAAGTACGTTTCCATACTTGCAGGGTTCCAGCTGGGCTGCCGTGGGGGCACCCATTTGTTTTCAGGCACAGATGAGTGAGTGAGTGAGGCTGCAAACCATGGTCAGACACAGTATCCTGCTCTGTGGCCTGGGAGCAACTTGGGAGGGTTTGCCCACAGGGAGCAGGGGGCTGTCCTGGGGACTGAGTGCTTTTGCTGCTTTGTTTCCCCAGAGCTGCATGCTGGCGTGCAGGTGTTCCATCAAATGTGGGTGAGAGCGTTCCCAGAACAGGGAGCTGCCCTTCTTTTAGGGGTTAGATGCGAAAATCACAATAAGGCAAAGACTGCATATGGTCACATTACCCTTAAAAGTCCCTCACATCATCTGTGAAGCGCACTTAGGCATTTTGAGTGCATGGTCCCATCTCCCCTCTGTCTCAGGAAAGCTGGCACTGCCTCTGGTTGGTTCTCTCTTCAGATCAGAATGGAGTGCTCTCTTTTTGCTTGAACACCAGAGGAATCCTTTTACTCCATTCAGGGAACTGTGCTGTATAAAGAACACACTAGTATTTTGCCTGAAGATATCCAGTTGAATTTGTGTAGCAGTGTGGCTCCATGTACAGGGGAGGATTGCATACCCTCTGGTCAGAAGGGGCCCCCAAGGGGGAGGCAGCTGTGGGGGAAGGAGCTCCATCAGAAGGCTGGAGGCCTGCAGCCCTGCTGCTTGTCCTCGCTGGCCTTGAGCAAGTTGCCCAGCCACCTTTTGGTTTCCTTGTGTAAAACGAAGATCGGACCTCCTTACAGGGTAGTGATAGCATTGAGAAAAATCTCACTTGTGACAGGATCATGCAGTTCTTGACATGTGGATGCTCAGGCAAGTTTTTTAAAGTTTGTCTAAAAATCTCAAAATCAATTTTTAAAAAAAATTAGAAATGTAATATAGGTATTCATTCCAGAGAACTAAAAAAAGTTCTGGATATATATCAGAAAATGACAGTCACCCTGTAATCCCTGCTCCCAGCAGCAGTCACTGTTGACAGTACAGTATCTGACTCTGACCTTCCCAGCTTTTTTTTCTTTTCTCTTTTTAAGATTTATTTATTGAGTAGAGCAAGTGAGTGCGCACAAACGGGAGGGGCAGAGGGAGAGAGAATCTCAAGCAGACTCCATGCTGAGGGTGGTCCCTGATGTGAGGCTCTATCTCATGACCCCAAGATCAGGACCTGAGCAAAAACCAAGACTTGGACACTTAACAGACTGCACCACACAGGCTCCCCAGGCTTGCTTTGTATGTGCATATTTTATAATAATAAGGATATGAATAATAATGCCAGCATCTCCAACCTGTTTCCCCAAGTGGGCAGTACTCTACCCATGGTTGATGCCCTCTGAAGAGCCCGGCCCTTGATACAGAGGGACCCTGCAGATCGTGAGCTGCATAAGGGAGCCAGAGATGCCCTGGAGGAGGATTTCTGTCTCAGTATCTGCATAAACAGAGTGTTTAAGAACTCCGATGTTCTTAAAAGTTTTGGGGGCTTGGGAGTCTTCGTTTGAGAAGGGGGTGTGAGCAGATCTGCACAGGAGGACAGGCATCAGTGGGTAGAACGTGCGTCTCCTCAAACTGACCGAAGCCCTCTGTCATGCCTGTGTCCCTCCAGAATCCAAGTCTGGCTCTCGCCCCCGCAAGCCACCACCCCGGAGACATACCAGGTCCTGGGCTGTGCTGAAGCTGCTGCTGTTGCTGCTGCTGTGTGTGGCTGGCGGGCTGGTGGCCTGTCGGGTGACGGAGCTGCGGCAGCAGCCTCTCTGCACCAGCGTGAATGCCGTCTACGACAATGCAGTCCGGGCGCTGCGCGGCCACGACATCCTGCAGTGGGTACTGCAGACCGATTCCCAGCAGTGAGCTCGTCCTCCACACCTGCTGCCTCCCAGCCTTGGAGCTTGGATTCCTATGGAATTGGGTTCTGCTGGACACAACCTCTTTTTAGCGTCAGACCTACCTGCCATCATCAAATGGCTGCCGATTGGTACTTGAGATCTCCTCTTTGTAGGACTTCTCTGTTCCGTAGTCAGGGTTCCCTGGTGGAATAAGGAGAAGGGGAAGGTGGGGACAGTCACCTGCATGCCTAAAGGAACAGGCTTGTGGTAGGCAGAGGAAAAAAAACAGTCTTTTCTAGTTATACAAAGCTGTGTAAAGGCAAGGCTTGTTTCTACTAAACGGTCAGGTCAGCTGTCACTACATTTATACTTTTGTATGTCACAAACCCTTTCTTTCATTCCTCCCTGCATAGCCAGGGCAGATCAGGAGGCAGTGTGATATTGGGGACTAAGGGAACAAACACCATACTCAGCAAATCTAGCCTAAATTGGGGGGTTGGGGGGTATACCTATTTTTTCTTAAGGACCTCAGACATTTTAATGACCATATAAAATCTCAGGCCGTGAAAGGGACTTCAGGTCCATCCAGTCCAATAGAACACGTGCAGACAAGGAGACGGAGGCCTCCCATGACTTGCCTACGATCTCCCAGCTAGTTTGAAGTAAAACTCCAGTAGCCTCTCTTCCCATCATTTTGCTTTCTTAATAATGTCTGGAGAGAACAGAACTCACACCGGAATGGAGTGTCTCTCAGCTGGAGTGTAGACTCTGATGGTAGGCAGCTTTGTGTCCCACAAATAGAATTCTCCCAGCTGTGAGGGTCTTGGGCAGCTCCTGTAGAGTCCTGCCTCGGCTCATGTGGCTCTCACAAAATGGTCCGGGCTCCTTGCCTCACTTTTAGAGCATTAACTCCCCGCTTGCCAGTAAACAAGGAGGTGGACCATCAAAGCCATATTGTCTGTGACAGCTGTGGGTAGCTGGTGTGACAGAGGAAACCTGAAAACTCAACTTTCAGAGCTGGAGGTTTAGAATTGTTTAGGTCTAGACCTATAACCAGCTCCACAATGAAGGGAAATAGCACCATGGAGCTTAAAAGTGGTGCGTTTACGAACGACTAGCACAGACAGGCAGGACTCTCCATCCTCTTGTCTGCCAGACTAAGCCTTTTCTTGCTCTGTGGCCTCCTTGGCCTTTTTTTTCACAAAAGCCAGATGAAGGAATGAGAAATGGTCGTCATGGTGCTTAATCACTGAAAACTCCCAACTGCAAGCTTCTTGTCCCTCCCTCAGGAGAGCAAAAGCTTGTAATGAATCGCCAGGGAGCGGGGTTTGACTGAGCCTTAGTGGCTCATCTGGAGAGGACAGCCCCTAGTGACTGTCCCCATCCCGGGAGTGACTTATTTCTCTCCCCCCCCCACCCCCCTCCCCTGGCAGCTCTGCTGCAAGGCCCACACCTTACTCAGAATCACTACACATTCCTCAGTCTTCCTTCAAGCTCCAGAGCCAGTGGTACAAATGCTTTATTGAAACTACATAGTGCGTAAAATGAGAGAAAGAGGGCAGGGAAGTTAGCATAGGGAGGAGACCCCTGCACAGGGGCCAGCTGAGGTGGCCTCAGTGGGTGAGAGGAAGGCAGGGCATGCTCAGCCCCAGCCAGCCAGCCTGCTGAGGGAAGTTCACTTGTGATCTCAAGATTTGAAGCTGAGGTTCTTCTGGATTTCTACAATCATTAAATACGTGTCTGAGTGGTTGGTCTTTGTTCATTTGTGTCTTGATGGCTGCTAGGGCAGGGTGATTGGTGTACGGCAGCCGAGTTCACTGGGAGAGGGACATTAGGTGCTTGGGAAGGGGAACACCAGTATCTCAGCTGTCTGTCTCAAGGTGATGGGGGTGGGGTGGGGACTGCTGCAGACATGGGACACCCAGGAAGTAGGTTTGAGCCTGATCAGGCTTGTGCTTTAGGAAGTGCTTCCAGTCTCTTCCTGTGGTCCTCTTCTGAGCTGGGTGAGGTAGAAATCTCCAGCTTTTCATCCCTGTCCCCAAGGACTGGCATCAGTCTGCAGTGTCTAAAGAGAGATCTGGCTGCAGGGTGGTCATCTGAAGGTAGATCCGCCTGGATAGCTCTGGTCCAATGCGGCGGCAGGTGGATGTCACGCCTTCCCCACGGCGCACCTGTATGTCTGCAAGCAGATTCTGGCGTTCTTGCTCCAAAAGACACCGTCTATAAGCCTGGAAGTGGCGAATGACCTCTCAATACTGTATCATTCAGAGTCACCCTGCCCATCAATGAGGGGGCAGTAAGCTTGGGTGGGGGGACGAGAACCTGTCCTCTCCCTGGGTCTGTGTTCACTGATCTCAGCAGGCCCGTGGTGCTGACTACCAGTGCCCTCCACGGAAACTGCCTGGGAGTCCACTAATACCACAGGGTGTTGGAGGTGACCACTGGAACAGCAGCCTACCTGGACTAGCAGCTGGGGGGATGGATAGGTGTCCACAATGGCACTGGCCATTTCCAGGCTGACTCGGTTCAGCTGCTGAATCTGCCGCCTCCAGACCAGCGCGAGCCCCCTGCCGGCACGGTCTACCTTTGCCCCTCCAGCCCAGTCACTCTCCAGGCAGAAGGAAAAACTAGTTTGATCTCGGAACTTCCTGTAAAGAGCAGTTGAAGAGTTGTGAGTCACTTGTCACTCCACTTGTCCCCTTCACTGGGAACTTAGAAACCCCTCCACCAACCTCATGAGAGCCAGGCACAGTGTCATATCTGGTCTATGTGAGTGCTCATTTTGTTCCCAAGCAGTGTCCCTTAAGAATGATATCAAGTTCTTTTCATAAAGACACAATGTGCCAGAAAAGAACCAGGTAGTTTCACATGTTGAAACTGGGCTGTATTGACTAGAGAGGCAGTGTGCACAGGGACAACCACTAGGGGCTAGGTGTCAGGCAATCTGAGAGTCTGGTTCCAGTTCCTCTAACTTGCTAGGACCTCAGACAAGGCAGTCTTCAGGCCTCCATTCCCCAAGCATGAAATGGACTCAGACTGGACTGTCTCTAGGTCCGCTACTCATTTTAAATTTTGACCACAAACACTCCTACAGCTGAGTAGGCTAAAAGCTTGTTTTATGAGGGCTTATTACATCGTTACCTGACCTGGGATAGCCAGGTAACCTGGCTCACTGGTGACCCAGCACCAGCCTGCAGAACACGAACTTACAGATGAACTACCGCAGAACATTTTAAAAGGACTGGGCTTGAGGGCTCTTCACAGGCATCCCCAGCCTGGGCTGACTCCTGCCACCAGCCTGGCAGACAACGGGCTGGTGGCAGAGTTCAGGGGAAAGAGACCGTAGGTGGGTCCAGAACTGCTACATGGTCCAAGGCCCAGCAGCGGAGCCCAGACTTGCTGGGGACACACTCACTTGAAAGGCGCTTCGGCCACCGCCTTTGTAAATGCGCACGCGAAGTCGGCCAGCTCTTTCCAGTTCTGCACGATTCGGGCCTGGGCTTGTGTGTACAGCTGTAGATCCACCAATGCCTAGAGACCCCAAAGCAGGACGGGCTGGAGGGGTGCAGGGACACTGGTCTGTGGTTCCTCCCACCCACCTGCCAGCCAAACCCAGAGAGAGCCCAGCCCCTTGGCTCCCTGCTTAGCCTTTTCTCTCCTACCCGGTGCTGAGGCAGAAAGGCATGACTGGCTGGCACCTTGCTCATCTAGAGCAAATCAGGTTAGATGAGAGTGGGAGCCCAGCCTGACTCAGGTAATGTGAAATTCTTACCTCTTCCACATCTACTCTGGACACGGTGCGCCCTGCATTGGCCTCTGGCTGTCCCTGCTGCTTCTCCTTGGCCTGTTCTCTATTTGCCGCTCCCTGCTTCCTTCTTCTGGGAGGATTTGGAACACTGGAACTGGGAAGGAAATCAGAGGGCGGCTGCTCCAGGCCAGGCTCGGGCAGAGCAGGGGTGAAAAGACCCGACCAGAGCCCAGGACTTGTTAGGGGGACCCAGATCTGGGATGAGTAAGTTCACTCCTGGTAGCCCCGAGAGCTGCCCCTTTTCATGCTCCATCTCGAGGACCAATTCAAACCTGAAGCACTTCTCCTGATCCACAATCACCAGTGACAGAGCTTTCCCAGCTGTCCTTGCTGTGGCGTCAGTGACAAAGCTCCGCAGAGTTTCCTTCCCCTTCTCAGCGTCACCCAGACTTCCCTGCGTGAAGGGCAGACACTGCGCTAATATCTGTTCCCTAGAGTCGGCCCTCTGTCCCCAGCCTCAGCGCCCACCCTTCTCTGCCCACCTGCTTAAAGTTGTAGACCATGGATACGAATGCCTCTGCCGGGAGCAGTGCCAGGACCACGGGTTCCTCCACCCAGTCTTCCTCTCCATCCTGCCAAAGGACCCGGAACCCAGCAGAGGGAGACAGGTCAGTAGGTGCTCAGCACCTGTGAGAGAGACCCAGGCCTTCTGGGTGAATGAATGCACCCGCATCAGCCGAGCCCATTTTTGCATTATTCTTTCTCTTCTGGAATGAAGCTCTGGTGGCAAGAAACAATAACTCATGATCCTGCCCCTCCCCAGTTGACTCTCCAACCTTGGTGTACTGCCTCTCAGACGTGGTAAAGAGGAGTTGAAATGGGCTGAGAACTACAATGTTTCTGTGCACTTTGGATAGGGGAATGGAGGGAAGCAAATTTCCAGTGAGTTTTATACAAATGAGTACTTGGCCTTTGAGGGCAGATGTTGACTAGGAGCCAAGAGGCTCAGACAAATACACAGGGTCGTGTGTGACAAAGAAAAGAACCTCCAGGGGAACTGCCACCCATGAAAGTCCCTGCTCTTCACCATTGCCACATGGTGGCTTCATGTGCCACACTCCTGCAGCAGTAGTGTGACCCAGCAAAGGGAGCAGGGCTTGGGGGGCAGGGGATTTGTCACTGGGTCCCTAGAAACAAAAGCCAAGACCCACAATATAGCATAGTGCAGTGGGAGGAGTGCCGGGTTCTAGTTCCCACTTGGCCACCAATCAGCCATGACCCTTCACAAAGCTTTCAACTTCTCCCACCTGTGTCCCCTGAACCATGATGCAGGGTAAAGGATTCCCTCCGTGTAGGAGAACTGCCACTTCCACTGCCACATGAGAGATAAGGTGGGAGCACCCTTAAAAGTAACCCTGTGATGTGAATATAAAGATTTGCTGATACCCCAAATTAAAAAGTGTGCAATGGCCCTAAATTACTGATGAGATCCAAATGAGGGGGCAAAAAAAAATTTTTTTAAGCAGGCTCTATGCCCCAACCTGGGGCTTGAACTCATGACCCTGATATCAAGAGTCTCATGCTCTACCGACTGAGCCAGCCAGGTGCCTTGAGAGAGCAAAAAAACCTGTGTTTCATCTGGACACTCTTAAAAATGAGGAGTGGGGGCAGCCCCGGTGGCGCAGCGGTTTAGCGCCGCCTGCAGCCCAGGGCGTGATCCTGGAGACCCGGGATCGAGTCCCATGTCGGGCTCTCTGCATGGAGCCTGCTTCTCCCTCTGCTCTGCCCTGTGTCTCTCTCTCTCTGTGTCTCTATGAATAAACAAATAAAATCTTAAAAAAAAAAAAATGAGGAGTGGAAGGCACAGGAGCTAGTAACCTCGGGAGCTCAGGCCAAAGGAAGGAACATTTGCCATGTGCCTACTATGTGCTTGGGGCTTGGTTATCTGACTTAGTCCCCATGACATGGAACTCCAGAGGAATGCAACAGTGTCCTCATTTTATACACAAGGCCACAAAACAATGAAATAATTTTCCCAGGGTCAGAGCAATAAAGCCTTGGGGCCTGGGTTTCAAGCACAAGCCCACCCATTCCCAAAGCCCAATTAGAATTAGGAATCCTATGCAGATTATCTTCCCTCTGCCCCCACAGATCCACTCTCCCCCCTCCTACTCGCTCTCTGCAGGAGGCCATATCACCAGGCCCTCTGGTGCACATGGCCAAATGAGAATGGCCTGTGGGAAACCCAGCAAGAGGCTGGAGGCAGGGAGGGAGGGAGGGAGTGAAGGTGAGCTATTTCCCTGGGTCCCTGGAAATGAGTCACTTAGGGTTTGCTCTGTTCCTCTACAGGAGGTCAAGGTTCTCTCAAGGTGAGTCCTCTCTAGATTTCTCTCTCCTTCCGGTTGCTGGTAACCACTTCCTCCCCTCATCCATTCAGGCCTATGCATGCCAACAGATATGCCAGTGGTTCTTAGCCAGGGCCGATTTTTCCCCACAAGGGACGTTTGGCAACATCTAGACATTTGTGATGGTCCCGACTGAAAGGGTGCTACAGGAGTGAGTGGGCGGAGGCCAGCACACAGGACAGCACCCACAACAGAGAATTATTCAATCTGAAATGCTGATTGTACCCGAGTGAAGAAACCTTGAGTTAATGGTATTACGACCCTGTGGGGCTATCCCATCTTTGCAGTTGCCCTGTACCTAAACACACTTAAGAAAACCATTCCTTGGGCAGCCCGGGTGGCTCAGAAGTTTAGCACCGCCGCCTTTGGCCCAAGGCATGATCCTGGGGACCCGGGATCGAGTCCCACGTTGGGCTCTCTGCATGGAGCCTGCTTCTCCCTCTGCCTGTGTCTCTGCCTCTCTCTGTGTCTCTCTCATGAATAAATAAAAATCTTAAAAAAAAAAAGAAAACCATTCCTTCTTACATCTTCCTTAAATTACCCTAAGTGTGCCATCTGTTTTCCCAATGGGACCCAGACTAATATTCTTCAGAATGAAAGCATGTTTCTCGGGAGCTCTAAGTAGGAGGAAAGACATCAGCCAGAAAACCACTACCTCAGCTGGCTCGGCCCTTCTCCTCCAGGTGATGCTCCGGGGCATGGCCTGCGCCTCGATCACACAGCGGCACTCCATGGCCTGCAGTGCCTCGAGCAGCTGGCCTCCACCTTCCATCTGCAAAAGCACTACAACAGATGACGGGAGAAGGGCAGTCAGGGGGTAGCCTGGAAAGTGGGTACCCCAGTATAGGATAAAGATGGGTGCCAGGAGGACCTGGATCCAGCCCAACGACGATGTGCTTTAGGCATTCCTCAGGCCTCTGAGCTTTCACCCTGTTAACCCGTGCTGCTGCCTTCTTCTTCTCCTCCTGTTGTCTCACAGTGTTTTCCTTCTGGCTCGCTTGTCCCCGCGGCTGGCATCCCTGCGAGCCTCTCCTCCGGACCTTCTGGCTACACTTGGTTCTCTTCTGAAGTGGGAGGACCTCAGCATTTGTTTCAGTTATAGTGAAGCTGCTGTTCTGGATAGGACAGGAAGCTTTAAAGGCTGGAAGCTGATGGCATGGATTATCTCCTGCAGGGTCCTTGTTATTTGATGCATGTCTCTCTGAGGTGTCATGGAGGGGAACATCAGGGACCTTTGGAAAGGGTTGTTTTTTCCAGTCACACGATGCTCCTTCATTATTTTGATGATCCCATACCCTTTTAACCGGAGAACTAGAATCCTCAGGGCTCAGCTGCTTGCAGGCCAGAAACTTACACATAAGCCTCTGAGCCAGGGGAAGGATTTCTTCTTCATCCTCACTTCCACTGCTTAGCACCCTGACAGGCTCTGTCTGTGTGACAGGTTCAGCTGTGTCTGGGGTGGGTGGTGCATCTTTCAACCGTGGTGATGGAGGACAGGAGGCCTCAGAATCTGAGGTGTCAACCACAACAATCTTCTCCTCCCTCTGTGGCTGTCTCCTCTTTGTTGAAGATGGTTCCTTCCTCAGGAAGGCAAATGTTGGCAACTCTTCAGAGTCACTCTCACTAGAATCCAGTGAGAGTGAGGACCTCTTTAGAGCCATCAATATGTGCTATCAAATTAATTCCCTAAAAGAAAAAGAGAGATGAAACACAGATCGTAGCTCTGAATTCAGTCCATCAGACATGTTAGGTGGTCAAACGTTAGGGAAATACATACAAAATACAGAGAAACAGAAAAGCAGAACATGGTCCCAGCACATTCAATCTGGAACTCAGTGGTCTATAGTCTGACAGGACTGACTTCTCAGATCCCTTCTAGGTCAAGGTGACCCAGAAACAGAGTGGAGATTACTACTGGAAGTTTTAATGCAGTAGGAATAAGACTCAACACCACCCCCTTGTTGATCTCTGCATTTGAAATGGAGGTGTCAAATCATTCTTTCTTTTTTTTTTTTTTTTTTTTTTAGGACTTTGAAAGAGTCTGAGAGAGCGAGAAAGCGAGAGAGAGAACACTGAGCAGGGTAAGAACAGAGGGAGAAGCAGACTCCCTGCTGAGCAGGGAGCCTGATGCAGGGCTCCATCCCAACTCCTGGATCATGACCACAGCCGAAGGCAGAAGCTTAGCAGACTGAGCCACCCAGAAGCCTCAAGGCATTCTTTCTTTAAAAATTGAGATACAATTCATACCATAGACTTCTTTTTCAAGTGTACAGTTTAGTAGTTTTTAGTATATTCACTAAACTCTGCATCACTAATTCCAGAATATTCTCACCACCCCAAAAAGAAATCCCATAGCCATTAAACAGTCACTGTTCACTTCCCCCTCCTCCCAGCTCCTAGCAAGAACAAATCTACTGTTTATACAAATTTGCCTATTCTGGATATTTAATACAAACAGAACTGTACAGCGTGCGGTCCTTGGAGACTGCCTCCTTTCACTCAGCATGTTTCTCAAGGTTCAATTATGTTGTGCCAAATGTCAGTACTTCATAGCTTTTTACAGTTGAATAATATTCCACTGCATAGATATGCCACAATTTGTTTCTCTGTTCAGCACAGCGGGATATTTGGTTTCTGGGCTTTGCCCATTATGAATAATGCTGCCATGAACATTCATGTCCCAGTTTTTTAAAAATATTCATGAGAAACGCAGAGAGAGAGGCAGAGACATTGGCAGAGGGAGAAGCAGGCTCCATAGGAGCCCGATGCAGGACTGGGGATCAGCCCTGAGCCAAAGGCAGACGCTCAACCCTGAGGCACCCAGGTGCCCCCACGTCCAAGTTTTTATGGCGACAGGTTTTTTTTTTAAGATTTAAAAAATTTATTTATTCATGAGACACACAGAGGCAGAGAGACAGAGACACAGGCAGAGGGAGAAGCGGGCTCCATGCAGGGAGCTCGACGTGGGACTCGATCCTGGACTCCAGGATCACACCCTGGGCCAAAGGAGGCGCTAAACTGCTGAGCCACCGGGGCTGCCCTATGGGGGCAGGTTTTCAATTCTGTATGTACACCTGGAAGTGCAATTGCTGGGTCGTGTGTACAAGAGTCAGTCTTCGAATAAACATTCACTAACGTTGTAGGTGTGACCCAGCTGGGCCATGTAACCTCCCGGAGCCTCGCTTTCCGATTTTGTAAGACAGGGATGATAACACCTACTCCATAACACTGTGCGAATAACTGAAATGGTGCATCTCCAGCCTTAGCACAGCACGAGGCAGACAGTAAAGTAAACGCGCCACGTCTCTGGAGGGACCTCCTCCCGGTCCGCTCCCAGAGCCCCGCCGCAGTCCGGCAAATCGAGGTTGCCTGCCAGGCCGGGCCGGCACGTCCGCACCGCGCGGCGGAGCCCCGGACGCCCTGGTCGCCGAGGCCCTGCGGGGCGGCGCCCAGGAGGCCGGCCCTGATCTGCCACCCGCCGCCCGCCGCGCGACAAGCCCGCGCCCGGGGCTCACCTGCCACTCCTCGCGCCACTCTTTCAACTGCCGCGCAGGCCCCGGAAGCAGAGCGCCTGGTAGCGGAAGCAGCTCCCCTGGTAGCGGAAGCAGATGTTCGAGACCGGAAGCGAGCGTACGGCAAACATGGCGTCGGCGGCGCTGGCGCTGAGGACGCGGGCGGCTGGTAACGGGACGCCGTGGCTGTTGCTGGGGGAGGGGTTTAGGCGGAGCGGGAGCCCTGCAGGGAGCCGGGGGATGGAAGCTGTTCCCTGCGGAGGTTCCTGGGCGCTGAGCTGGAGGGGGCTCGGGGCGGAGGGGTGGGCCCACGAGCTTTGAAGGGCGGCCGTCTCTGATCACGTGACCCGTCCCGGGCGCCCGGCTGGGGGTGGCGGTTCGAGGAACAAGTGTCTTTCTTCTGCCCCGCGGGTAGATAAAGCTTTTCTAAGCGGCTGGTGACGTAGGCACGCCGCTTCCACCCCCTGGGGGCCCTTCCTCCCTAAATACGGGCACACTGGAGCTCAGAAAGTTAGCCCGCTCGGTCCGCAGAGTGAGGGCTCCGTGCCGGAGAGTGCGGGTAGGTGTTGGGCATCTCAGGAGCGATGAAGACAGTCTCCCGGACCGGTTCTTTCTAGTGGTTAAGCCAGTAAATAAGCACACGAACAAAATGGTTGTAAACTGTGACAAGTGCTGTTAAGGAAGGCAAAAACGTGGGTGTGTATGTGTGTGTATGTGTGTGGTGTCTTTTGGGGGGTTGGTGGTTAGGGAAGCCCTTTGGGGAGATAACCTCAAAGTTAAGACCCAAAGGAAGACTGGAGGCATAGCCCTGTAAGAGAATGAGGGGCAACAGAGTGACTTAAGCCAGTTTTCCATGTTGAGAAGCAAACCATTGCTCTTTCGTGAATTTAGAGAGAGTAGGAGCGGAAATGAGGAAACCAGATGGAAATCTCTAATGGTAGCCCTGATGAGCGGTGATTTAGCCAAGATACTAGTGTTAGTAAACTTGGGGGCAAATGAGTGATTTTAAGATCTGTTTTTGGAGATTAGATAGAACCCAGAGTTTGCTGGTGAACTGGGTATGTGAGATGAGCAAAGGGAAGCAATCTGCCACGGAAGATTTCTGTGGGAGCAACCGCGTAGGTGGTAGCATCATTTACTTTGAGGTGGGGAGTAGGCTGAAGGGCAAATATTTGTGAAAGAGATAGTAAAAAGTCCCACTCCTCATCTTCATAAGTTAGAGGATGACTGAATGAATGGGTTTAATGGTAGGTAGATACCGGTGCTGGGCACTTAACATGTTTTTCCAAGTATTTATTTCTGGTCCTTTGCCCAAGCAAAGGTTGCCCTTTGCTCATTAAAGGTTGCCCTTTGCTCATTAAAACTTCAGAAACCTGATTTCAGGAACTCAACTTGTAGATTCCAGAGTCTCACAAGGCTTCTCTGAAGACTCTGGCGAATCCCTGATTAACTGGCTGTGCCTGCAGGCCTGAAAGCAAGGACAGCCAGCCCTGTGCTTGTCACATAGCAAGGGGCTTCCATCTTGGTTAGTATGAATTTCAGTTCGCTTTCCTTTTAAAAATAAATACCATTGAGCATTTTGGAATGAGTATGGAGAGGTCAGATTGTCAAGGGCAGGGTGTCAGTCTTTTTGGTTAGGACCCGTACTGGGTGGGCTTGCTGACCCAGCCTCCTGAAATGGCTAAGAGCCTGTGGGAGCCACCCTCAGAGAAGCTGCCCTTTTTGTTTACAAGTATCTGGTGTGCAGTGGATGGGTGGATGGTGGAGAAAGTGGTGGGTGACCAAAGCAGGACCCTCTCTTTGGGTGTCCTGTTGCTGGGCACTGTGGTCCAGCCCCTCCACAGTGTCTGGAGCCTTGAGGACATGTGGTGGGTGAGGCTGAAACCAGCAACTCTGTGGTGTCCTCTTGCTGGTTTATATTTCAGTGGTGTTTGTTTCTCCTCAACAGTATTGAATGTGTCAGAACCCAAGGCACATGGTGTTTATTTTTTTTTCCGTGAATATTTCACTGCCCACTGCCTCCCCCGGCCACACACACACTTCTTATACAGTGCATACACCTAGGACAATACAAGGAATGACTTGTCTCCTGCCATGGGAGAAGGCCAAGGACTTCTAGACACACCCTGAAAACCAACACAGTCGAGTGGCACTTCTGCTCACGTATCTTCCTCACCTCCCTGCCACCTCTCAGTTTAGCAAATGGCCCATTGAGGTGGAGAAGCAATAATTGGGGGAGCCTTTCTGAACAACATTTCTGTTCTGTCTGCAATTACAGCCCTGCTGAGCCCCACTCAGGCTGCGTCTCTTGCCGTCAGATATGCATCCAAGAAGACAGGTGGCAGCTCCAAAAACCTGGGTGGAAAGTCACCAGGCAAACGCTTTGGCCTCAGGAAAATGGAGGGTAAGGGCGTGCCTTTGTTTCCATTTCCCAGCTGCAACCCTCCTGATCCTATACTCTCCGCTTAGCTCGCCAGAGCACTTGGCTCCAGATTACAGATGCAGAGAAGACCTGAGGCAGGGTGGGGGTCCTGAGGAAGAGCAGATAGGTGTGAACCTGGGCCATGTGACTGGAGAGAGAAGACTGCCAGAGGTCGAGGGTAGGGAGGAATTGGCAGAAGGAGACAGGGGGCTCCTGTATCCGACCGTGTAGGATTGGTTTTGTCCAGGGTCAGGCTTAGAGGTTGATGTGCAGCTTTTGGGCCAGGAAATCGAGGGCCAGTATGTTTTCTAGTTTGCTGTGCTGTCCTATTGCTGGGGTCCAGAGACAGTGTGTTTGTGGACTTTTCTTCTAGGTCACTACGTTCATGCTGGCAACATCCTTGCAACTCAGCGCCACTTCCGTTGGCATCCAGGCGCCCATGTGAGTTGCTCTGTAGCCCTTTCCCCTTTTTTCTTTCCCAGGACCACCTTTCTATGCTCCTAAGCATGGTAGTGATAACAAGAGTTGAGTTTATTGGGTACTTATCAAATGCCAAGCATCTTTTTGCTTCCTGGGCCTGCATTGTCTCGTTTCATCCTTAGCCCATCCCTGGGTATCACCTCCATTTTCCAGGTAAGATGCCAGAGACTTAGGGAGTGGAGAGGCCCACACAGCAGAGCTAGGGTCCATGCTGGGGCTGCCTGACTCCCAGTCACTGTGCTTTGCCTTGTGAAACATCAGTCTGGTTCTCTTGGGTCTCCTTTCTAACCCCCTACTTGTTAGATAAGGGATGCCTCATGATTTGAGATACTTTTTGAATCTTGGGAAACTAATTTCAATGTATTCTTTTTTCCTTCTTGCTAATTCTCTTTTGCATAAAGTTGTTATTAGATGGCTGTAAGATAGTTTGAATTTAATAAAATAGATTCAGTGTATGTACCAGAAATTAGGTCCATATAGGCAGGGATTTCCATTTTTTTGGCAAATTGGGATTACTTTCTGAGGTAGGAAGGTTCTTTGTTAACACAGATATGTACTATACTTTTTTTTTTTTTAAGATTTATTTATTTAACAGAGAGAGTGAGCTTGTGCGCACGTGGGGTGATGGGGGGAGCAGAGAGAGAGGAAGAGAAGCAGACTCCCTGCTGAGCTTGGAGCCTGCCTCTTTCTGGAATCAGTCTCGCAACCCTGAGACCACGACCTGAACCAAAATCAAGAGTTGGACACTTAACCCACTAAGCCACCCAGGCACCCCGTACTATACTCTTCACATTATCTTCTTAAATGTTAGTTTATTTATCTATTTATTTTAAAAGCTTCCGTTCATTTATTCATGAGAGACACGGAGAGAGAGAGGCAGAGACATAGAGGGAGAAACAGGCTCCATGCGGGGAGCCCGATGTGGGACTCAATCCTGGGACTCCAGGATCATGCCCTGAGCCGAAGGCAAATGCTCAACTGCTGAGCCACCCAGGCATCCCTTAAATGTTAGTTTCCTTTGTAATCAATCCCCCCACCGCCCCTTTTTGGGGCAATTTTAATAGGCACAGAAAGACTGATGGTAGCTTATAATTATGTCATAAATGCTAATTTGTATGTGAATTGGTTGTATTTATAGTAGCTTTGTCTATTAAAACTTGAGACACTGGCTGTGTGGTTGCGTTAACTCTTGGAACTCACTAAAATAACAACAACCAACAATAATAAACGCTGTTTTAAACTAAGCATTCTAAGCTCTTTATGATTAACTCATTTAATCCTCGAGGGGACCGCATAAAAGTAGTTAATATTATCCCCAGTTTGCAAATGGGAAAACTGAGACACAGTGAAGTAACACAACTTGTGCAAGCCACACAACAGTGGGTAGTGGTGCTGGGATTTGAACCAAGCATCCTGGCTCCTGAGCCCATTCCTTTAATCAGAGAAATATTGAATAATGCTTTGTTGCCTAGATAAAAATTGCCACATGTCTAATCTCAAGTTCTGAAAGAAAAATGCTAAGATATATACAGCGTATAAACTGTATATGCAACATGGAGTTTATTCTCCACTCATAATTTTTGTCCGGAGAATAGAAAAGGTAGCTGCTTCATAAGGTGAGGACTAAAGGGGTTATGGGTTAGAGAGCAAAACCTTTAGAGATCACTATATAGGACGAAAGCATATCAAGCTCATGTTTACTGTGACAACTCCAGTGTTTTTTAATTTTAAGTGAAGCAAGCTCCCAAGGGGTAATGATTAGAGGCGTTTTCCTGGGCCTGGTTTGGGGATTTGTCTAGTGTGGCTTCTGGCCCCTGCACAGATGTGGGTCCAGAGACCAGCCTTCAGGGACTGAGTACCCACGAGGATTGCCTGTTGGAGTTTCTTTTCTCTCTTCTGTCACAGAGTCAGCAAAGAAGTAGAAGGCAAGGAAATGCCAAGCATTGGAAAAAGGAACCCAAATAGAGCTTGCTTTCTCTTTCTCTTTTTCTCTTTCTCTCTTTTCTTTTCTTTTCTTTTCTTTTCTTTTCTTTTCTTTTCTTTCTTTCTTTTCTTTTCTTTCTTTCTTTCTTTCTTTCTTTCTTTCTTTCTTTCTTTCTTTCTTTCTTTCTTTCTTTCCATTTTATTTATTTATTTGACAGAGAGAGTACAAGAAGGGGGAGGAGCAGAAGAAGAGGGAGAAGTAGACTCCCTGCTGAGCAGACAGCATGATGCTGGGCTGGATCCCAGTACCCTGGGATCATGACCTGAGCCAGAGGCAGACACTTAATGAACTGAGCCACCCAGGTGCCTCGAGATAGAGCTTTCTGATCTCCCATTTGGTCCCAGAGCCTTATGAGAAATTTGTCTTGAAGCCCTGGGATGGCCAACCTGGCCATCAGTTCAGCTGACCAGGTTCTGTGTTGCAGGTGGGCCTTGGGAAGAAGAAGCACCTGTATGCCCTGGAGGAGGGAGTGGTCCGCTACACTAAGGAGGTCTATGTGCCCAGTCCCAGCAACACGGAGGCTGTGGAGCTGGTTACCAGGCTGCCCAAGGGTGCTGTGCTCTATAAGACTTTTGTCCATGTGGTTCCTGTGAAGCCTGAGGGCACCTTCAAACTGGTAGCTATGCTTTGAATTCCTGGGGCCATTGGATGGAGACTGGAGCCCAGGTGACAGGAGAGGGTGGCACCAGGAGAAGTCAAGAGTTGGGGATGGCAAGGCCTCCTGAGGAAGCCCACTTGGTAATGACTGTAGAAGACTCTGAAATGACTGGCTAGGAAGCCTTTTGGGAGCCCTGACCTGGGGCCAAAAATAAAGTTTGCTGGAGTCATGTGCCTGTGCTGTTTGGGGATAAACCTGGGTGGAGCTGCTTACTCTTTGGTTGGTCCTTAGCCATGGTCTATTGTGCACACCAAGGAACAACCTCAAAGCAGAAAAGAGGCCATCAGAGTGAGGAAATGAGAAGGGGGAGTATGCTTGAGGAGGGGATTACTTTAGTACCACCTCCCTGGGGAGAAGGAGGAGGAGAGATTGTGCCTGAGGGTATCACAGCAAACCAGCCCACTTCCCGCCTGATCCCATCCCAGGCCTGGTCCTGGGAGGAGTGGATAGGAGGAACTTCAGGGGAAGCAACATGGTCATGTCCTCTGCTGGAAGCATCTTTGGGGGAAGCCCGGGCTACAGCCCCCAGAATGGCCACTTGGCAGACTGCTCCCTGACTCTCTGGATCCAGCGTGGAGAGGCCAGATGGACTGAGGTCCTTTCAATGGTGAGGCAGAATGAGTGACAAATGGGCTTCTTTCCATGCACCTGGAGAGAGGCACAACCTCCTCACATCCTTTTCTGGTTCTTGGTTTCTCTCAAACCATAAACAGCAGCCAAGGATCTAGCTTTAGGAATACTCAGTCTGGACCTAGAGTGGGTGGGGGCCAACCTTCATTGTCAGTACAACCCAAGACCATAGAGGCTTAGCTTCAAGTGGAAGGGTCCGGAAGAAAGTCTCACCTGGGGCAGAGGGTCATCCTGGCCTTTGGAGGTAGGCAGTTTTGGCTGCAGCTGAGGTGGGGCTTGTAGAGTCCTATGGCTCCCGTCCAAGGACCCTCAGCTCTGCAGGCAGGAGCTTCGGGGTTTGGGGACACAAGCCCCACAATTTAGGATGTCTGCATGAACTTGCCACTTCATTCTCTCAGGGTATGACCCCATATTCACCTGCAGATTTTTGCAGGGGTGACCCAGAGTTTTTTTGGGTTCACCTTGGCTCCCTTCTTGTGGGGTCTCATGTACCAAGGCCCAGCTGGGAAGATTGCTGGGGGCATGTTTGTCAGCTCAGCACTGTCCCTGCCAGTCCACTGGAGAAGCAGGAAGGGGCAGATGCAAGAGGCTGTTCCTTCCTACAAAGTGTTGTTGCCCCAAGGAGAGGAGGTGGCTGCTTCATGGGGTGGGCCAGCAGAGCCACAGTTGGGTGGTGGTGCAGGCAGTGATGGTAGGGCCTCCTCATGGCTTGGTAGCAACTGAGGAGTAAAGGCATTAACTATTTCCTGACCCACCAGCCTCTCTCCACCTGCCCATACATGCACATACTTTCTTCAGGCTTTGGCTTCTGTGTCTCCTCTCCCCCACTGATGTTCTTTCCTGGAAACAAGTCAAGCCCTGTTGCTGTTGCCACCATGGAAACCCTTTCACAGGAGCCTGCTCTGAATCCCAGGGCAGGCCCCCCCTGGGCTGGGGTCTGCTGTCCTTCCCTCCTCCCAAAGAGGTGAAATGAGGCCTCTTTTCAAACCCTGGAGCTCTCCATCAGTGGCCCTTTCCTCCTAGTCTGAAGGGCTCTAACGGCATTATGTGTAAGAGTAATATGAAAAAAAAGCTCTCTTCAAGGCACCTGTGGCTAGGAATGTCGAACATTCACCTCTGCAGGCCCAGATCCCAAAGCGCTGTGCAATCGTCTGGTGAGTCAGCTTCTGCTGGTCCTTTTTTCAAATACTTTTGTAGCTGGGCAGGTGAGCCAGCTGCCACAGGGGCAGCACCACCCAGAATACCTTGCCCCTTTGGGAATAGCCCTATAATCAAGAAAAGCTGAGGGAACCAGGCAGGCATGCAGCTTCCGTCTGGACCTTCCCTAGGGTGAGCCTCAGATTGGCGTACCACATTCCCTCCTCTCCCAGAAATCTAGGCATCATCCCATCCTTCCCTTAGCCACCCTAAGCCCCTGGCCTGGCTTCAGGCCCCTAGCACACACCTCTCTGCTGACTCCTGGGTGGCAGCCCCAAGAATCCTCCCTCACCAGCATCCCTCAGGAAGCTCAGCAGCTTTCCACTGCCTGGACTTTGCTGGGTAGAAGCAGGGAAGGGGGAAGTCCTGGGGAGCATGAGGGAGGACTCAGTGAAGCTCCAGATTCGGGGTCAGTAAGTAAGAGAACAGAGCCCAGCCCTTCTGTCCCTATGTCACTCTCCCCATCCCCTTTAGTTCTCTCCAGTGAGACCAAGGAACAGAGCTCACTCAGCATTTCTGAGATGCGCTCAGTGTAGAGATACCACTCCTCTCTGGCCACCAGCTCATTCTCCTGTGGTCTGGCAGCCACTTCTGATGCCCTTCAGGGAGAGTCAGAGAAAGCCTCTCCTCCTGTGCCCACCTCCAACCTCTCTGGCCCCTAGAATTGCGCTTGTGGGGGTGGGGGTGTGGGATACATGTGGAGGTTGCAGGTCAGACAATTCCTTCTGCTTTCCATATCCAGACTCCCATATGGTGCCCCGTCCCTGGGGAAAGGCCTAACAGTATTGTAGCCACCACCTCCCTCTCTCATGAAGTCAGTGCTCTAGACTTTCCCCTGGTTGCTCAGGAGAGGGTGAGTTTCCAGTTGCTTGGAGAGCTAGAATGTCTTAAGACCTTTGTCCTCACCAGCAGCTCCCAGCACCGGGTCCCCTTTAACAATAACAATAACCAGCCAGGATGCTAGCAAGGACCTTATTTTTTGTATCTGCAATTTTTTTAGATTTTACTTATTTATTCATGAGAGACCCACAGAGAGAGAGAGAGAGGCAGAGACACAGGCAGAGAGGAAGCAGGCTCCATGCAGGGAGCCCTTCACACCCTGAGCCAAAGGCATGCCAAGCTGCAGAACCACCCGGGCTGCCCTGGCAAGGACCTTAATAACCCTTCCCACACTGCTGCCTTGGCCCCAAGGGAACCCAGGCCGGAAGGTATAGAGTCCATAGAGTAGATTTGAAAGGCCTCTTCCATACTGAACAGTTGCTCTTCCCTGGCCAGAGAGCAGGGATTGGGGTAGGAGGGCACGAAGGGAAGGGTGGATGGGTAGGGGTACTTACGTACTGGCTGGAGCTCTGGAGCAAGTGGCAGGAGCAGAGACCCTAGCAGCACTGGGGCCCATGAAGGTACAGCAGCAGCAGGATGGCCACAATGAACACCAGGACAAAACTGTCCTCCCCACAGAGGCACAGTCAAGGGTCCAGTCTGCACGTGGCATGCATGGGCCCATCTCACCTCCTTACATCAGAATCCCACTCCAGAAATTAGGTAGGATTGACCTGGCTGGTCTAGCATCAGCTTGCCATGCAGGGGAAACTGAGGTGCAGGCAGCTCCCTTTCTGCTGCTGCACCAAACCCCTGCAGCAGGCTTATTTAGGAGAGCAGTGTAGCTTTATCCTCTTTAGCTGGGGAAGTGATATGTGTAAGAAGTTTAGAGAGGGAAGAAAAAAATAGAGGGACAAACTTGGGGGGCGGGGAAGGAACTGCTGGCAGGGTTAGACAGCCTTAGAAGTGGGTCTGAGGGGGCCAAGGAGGACTCTAGGGCCTGAACTCAGACTCTGGTTCCCAACCCCTTCTCCACTATCATGGACCATGGTGTCCCAGAACTGGGCAGGTAAGGGCCCAAACAGCATTCTTCCCAAGTAGTTTGCTCTAGGTGACCCTATAGATGAAGAGGCTGGGCTTCCGGTCCATGGTGAGAGGTCAAGGGTACTTCTGATCCAACCCTAGGACTCAGGACAGCAGTAGGTACTCCTTGGTGGGCACAACTATGGCTAGGAGGCTATTGTGTATGATCTGTGCATGCAGAACAGCAGTGGCAGAGGGGTGGCAAGAAGGGGCATCAGCCTCTAGCCACCTTGAAGACAGCCAGCAGGGCCACCCCCCAACCAGGAACTCTGGCCCAGAGGAGCAACTGCATTCAGAGCCAGAGCATCTTTGAGCAGGTCTCCAGGTTGTCAGCCTCTGCCTCTGCTCATCCTGCCAAGGCGGTGCCGTGATCTCATGTCCCACAGAGGGCATTCCCCTCTGCGGGCCTGGCAGCCATGAAGATCCCTCTACAACTTTCATTAGAGGCTGGCAGGAATAGACTCAGCTTCTGGTATACCAGCCAGGGGAGCTCCAACTCACACCGACCTCTGTACTTCTCCGTTCCAGATAACCTCCCAGCGACTCTGCCTCGACACTTCCCAGTGGCCCAGATAACTGGGCTCAGGATGCCAATTGGCTCTCTTCTGCTCTTGGCTCCCCTCTCTAAGGGAACTGAGGGGTCCAAGGTTGCCCTGGAATTCAGGCACAGGGGCAGTGGGGGAAGGGGGGACACAAAATAACAAAAGCCTCTCTGCCCAGGCCCTCCTCCTTCCTCCAAAGGAATTTTGCAGCCCAGGGGGTCCAGCCTGCCCCAGCCACCCCCACCCCCATCCCAAATCCCACCTGCCCTGAACCCTGATCTTGACCCCAGTGGCCCAGCCAGGGGAGGATTTCAGAGAAGGCTCAAAGAGCCCAAGCCTCCAGGCTGAGCTAACCTTCTAGAAAGATGGGGGTGGGGAACACAGCAACAGAGAAGCTGCACTTGCTCTTGCCTCAGTGGCTTGCACAAGGGAGAGGCTGAGAGAGGAGGGCCTCCACAGCCAAACCTGCCTTCTGAACCGACCAGGGGTTCTAGAGCCTGGAGCCTGGGCCGGGTTCCAACTCAGGAGGCTAGAGCAGTGCAGGTGAAGCTGCCCTGCAAATTAGAATCTCCTGGGGAGTTTTGAAACCATACCTTCACTGCGTTCCCACCCCACACCAATGAACTCAGAACCCTCAGTCAGGATGCCCCACCACTGGGCTAAATGTGCAAACACGGGACATTCACGGCAAAGGACAGTCATGAGTAATAAGTAACCAGGGCCTGCTGTGATGGGGTGAACGTGGCAGGGGCTGAAACAGCGCATGCCCCATCGAGGTCAAAAACAAAGGGATCCCTGGGTGGCTCAGCGGTTTGGCGCCTGCCTTTGGCCCAGGGCGCGATCCTGGAGACCCGGGATCGAATCCCACGTCGGGGTCCCGGTGCATGGAGCCTGCTTCTCCCTCTGCCTGTGTCTCTGCCTCTCTCTCTCTGTGTGTGTGACTATCATAAATAAAAAAAAAATAAAAAAATAAAAATTTAAAAAACAAAGCCTCTGGAAACTGTTGTGCTAACCCAACAAACAGCCCAGGTGAACCCTGCCAACTGGGTGGGGAGTCCTCAGCCAGCCAATGATCTGACCATTACTACCTGGGCATAACATACCTGGTTAGTATCTTTTTATCGACCTAAGAGTTGATGTTAAAAAAAAAAAATTCTAGAGACTCAGAAGGGAGTTTCAGAAGTTCACGAAAATAGCCAGAAAAATGTCATCCTAGTGCCTAACCAAGCACTGTTTCCTAGGAGGTCTTGCTGTCAGCTCTTTCCTGGCGACCTGCCCTAAGGAGGGCAAGGGGTGATGTGAGTGGTACACAGGCCTCCTGCCTCCGTCGGGAGCCTGCTGCCACCGCCTGAGAGCTGTGACTTCGGGCTCATCATTTCAGCTTCCTGATGTGCCAGATGCAGATAATAAAAGTGCTAGCCTCACAGGGTTGTGAGGATTCAACGAGATCCGCACTGGCTGAGCAGACAACCCCACCGCCCTTCCTGGCGGTCAGGGGCGCCCTCTCCTGGCCACTAGGAAAACTAGACATGTGGCAGTCTAGGCCGGAATGAAACTCTTTGTTCCCCCAAGCTGAGCTGAGCAAGAGGCATGACCGGCTGTGCATTTTTTTTTTAAGATTTTATTTATTTGAGAGAGAGAGAGAGAGAGAAGCAGGCTCCCCGCTGAGCAGGAGCCCCATGCAGGGCTCAATCTCAGGACTCTGAGATCATGACCTGATGCCATGACCTAAGCAGCTGCTTAACCCACTGGCACTCCTGATGGGAGGATTTTAAAGATCGGAGGAACCCTCGCTTCCACATTCAGTAAAGTGTGAAGGGCTGATGCAGAGCCCCTGCTGACAATGGCAGGAGACCTGGAGGGAGAAAGGGCTTGGCAGAGGAGGGAGGCTAGACAAACCTTTCCAGCATGGCCCTCCCAGGGCTTAGGATGGTGGCCAGGGACCTCTCTTGTCCCTAAAGCTCCAACAGTAATGATCAGCCCATGGCTGGGGCTGCCTCCATCCTGGAGGATGCACCATAAGTCAGAGCTGGGCAGGAGAGTGAGGAGGGCTCATGGGATGGGCTCCTGGTGATGCCAAAGGCAAACAAGCTGACCTCCTGTGGAGCTGCTGGGTCAAGACCCTTGAGAACTGAATTGGCTTTTGCACTGGTCTACTGGGTGGCAATGAGCAAGTGTCCAAGCCTCTCTGGGCCTGTTTAGCCCTCAGAAAAAAGAGGGAGCTGTTTTAGATGGGTTCTTGCATCCCTCTTAGTTCTTGGATTCTAAACCGTTCCCACTCTAGGGGAGTGAAACCTCCACTTTCTCATGGCTACCAACACATACCAGTGAAGAGGTTCAGGAGAAGGCCAGACAGTGACAGCTTCCCAACACTCAGGAGGAAAAGACACAGAGGCTCGACTTAGAGAGATAGAGATATATTTCTTCTGTTGCATATTTCAGACCTCACTCTGAGCTTCAGGCACAATGCTGCTCTAGGTTCTTCTGAGAGCCCCGACAGAGTCCTCTTCCCACACTGCTCATGAGGGCTCGCCCCTCCAGGGCGGGAGCCCAGGCCCTGCTTGCAGTTCTGGGTACCTGGGAGACTCTGCGTTGGTCTCAGCAGGCCCTGATGCCCTGCCTTGCCTACCAAGGGGCAGGACATGCCGGAAAGCCCTTGAGCCAGCCCCACCCCTTCTTTTACAGTCCCCTGGCTATAAGAGGAGAGGCTGTCTCGCTAGAGTCCAGCTCTGCAGCGCTCCCCCAAATCACCTGTTCTCCGGGCCTCAGAGCCTGGCATGGCACTTGTACCCCTGGAGAGCTTCAGCCGTGAGCACCACAGGCCCAGGCGGGGTGGGGTTGGGGGGGGGACGAGGCCCTGGAGATTGAGGCCAGCTCAGCCTCCTCCAGAGCAACAGCAGATGGGCTCCTCAGGCCCCTGCTCCCCAGAGCCATGGCCCACTTCCTGGGGCTGCTCTGAGCCCTATTGCACAGTTTTCATTTCCAGTTCCTCCCCCTATCACCCATTAAAAACAACAACCAAAAAACAAAAACAAAAAAACCAAAAAACCAAGAAATCTAGAAGGAAAGTGAGGAGGAGCGGGGCATGGAGGCTGGAGCCCTTCTCCCCACATTCCTGCCAACCCTCTGGTCCCCAGCAGAACCATCAGCAATAAGTACCACGCCCACCTTCTCTGCCGTCTGCTCGGTTCTTAATGGCTGGCAGGGACATACTGCCTGGGCCTCTGGTTCTTGCCTGCTGCGAGGGGAACACCCCTCCATTGTCTGTAAGGTGCAATTCCCCGGGTCATCCGGAGGTGTTGGCTGGGGCCCTGCTACCTGAGTCGCCCGTCCGCTTTGACAGGCCCCAGCTCTGATTTGGGGTCGGGGAACACAGAGCTCCAGCTGGTCAGTCTGCAGAGCTCCAGGGAGGGGCAGGTGGAGGGGCCCATGGCACACAGTCCGGCCACAGACCAGAAGCCACTCAGCTCCCCATCTGTCCAGGCCTCAAGTGCCGGGCCTGTGAGCTCTGCATGCCGGCGGGCGGCCTCCTCTGCGGGCTCTGGCTGAGGCAGGTTCAGGATGCCACTGAGGCCCTGGAAACTCTGCTCCATGTACTCGTTGTGGGGTGGCCCGGCGTGCAGCCAGCTGGCATCATCTGGGGGGTGCAGAAGAGGCAGTAAGTGAGCCCCGCCTAACTGATTCCATGAAGGCCAGACCCTGGCATTCAGGTCTGGGTACCCCAGCTTCTGTCCCAACTCGAACACAGAGTCATAACTCGCTGAGTGACTTGTGACCTTGTGCTAATCCACAGAACTTTTTATACCTGTAAAACTGTTAGTTTTATAAAATCAAGACCATAATTTCTGAATTCCCAACTTGACGATTCGGAAGAGTGGATTCAAGGCACTTTGGAAGATAAGGTAACTTTCCCATAATGGTCTGGTCTCTGTCCCCTATGCCCCTTCTCAGCCACTTCCAGTGGTTCCCGGAGCCATCAGGGGCCCCACACTCAGGCCCTCCTAGCTTTGCTGGCCTTCCTTCCCACACCCTTATCTCCTACCCCCTCGGCCCCGTTTCCCTCATGCACCAGATGCCTGTGGGGTTTGTCTCCTCAGCTTAGAATAGCCTTCTCTGTCTATAAAATTCCAGCTCATCAGGGCTCAGCTCCAATACCGGCCTGCTGGAAAGCTGGCCTCCATTTGTCCCCACCTCCTGCATCAGGCTGGGAGTCCCGGGAGAACAGGGGTGTGGCTCGTCTGCTCTGGATCTGCCACAGCACCCCCAGTAACCCATCTTTGTCTGGGTTACCCTTGCTCTGACCCACCTTCTCTGTGATAAGACATAGCCAGAGCAAGAAAACATCTACCTCCCTACTGAGCACCTACTGTATACAAGCCACTTTTACCCATATACTCATCCCTAATATCTCCCAGGAGGCAGTTGTATTAGGCCCTCCTTGAGGGAACCTGAAGCCTATGCCTGTGGGGAGGGCCATGGGACCCTGCCCACCCAGCCACATGATGGACTGGGTGGCCAATCGGATCAGAAGGCCAAGTAATCTGCTGAGGATAAAGGCACAATTAAAGTGTCAAAGCAATATTCCAAAACCAAGTCCACCTGGCCACCAAGCTTGCCTCACTACCCTAGCATGGTGTGGGGATCCTAAGGGACAGACCATCCAGGCCCCAACCTTGCCTCTTCCCCTACTCGAGGGTCAGCTCGGATGGTCTGCCTCTTGGGGTCACCAGCACAAATTGTATCCTGTCTGGCTTCTGGGCCTAGATCCTTACCTTCCCTGAGAGGTAGTTTGCGGTTGAAGGTCAACGGCAGCACGAGGAAGCGGGTCTCACCCAGGGATTCCCAGAATTGAAGCAGTCGGACAGTCCAGGCCCCGGGCCGCAGGGGCCGGCTCAGTGGGGGCTTGTACTGTGTGACCTCGGTGTCCGCGTCTACCGCAATGTCGTAAGACGTGGCTACCACGTAGGTGGGGTCGATCCACACCACAGTAGCTGTGAGGTTGGGGCCCCGGGCCCAGCGCTGCATGGCTACAGGCTCATCCAGTGGCCCCAGCAAACCCCCAAAGTTCCGGAAGAGACGCTCTTTGGGGTCCCACTCAGTGCCAACCTGTAGGGAGGGAGGCAGCTGGGCAGGAGCCGGGTGGAGGGGAGGGCAAGTCCTCTCTACTCTGCTGCTGCCTCTAACTCTCTGCATGAACTTGGGCCAGTCACTGTATCTTTCTAGGCCTCAGTTTCCCCATTTGCAAAAGGAAGAGCTTGGACTAGGATTTTTCTAATATCTTTCTCAGCTCTGAAATTTGTTCTGGACTCCTGTTCTGGCTTGTTCCATAGTGGTAGGGGCAGTAAGGCAGAGATGAGGTTGGAGGCTTTGCCCGGAGACCATCCCCACATGAAGCCATGGCCTCTGAGAAAGAGCCAGAGGAAGGACACTCCAAAGCCTAATGGAATCTCCAAGTCCCTCTAGAAGAAAGCCACCATGGTTTAGAAGACTGGGCTTGCACTGCAGGGCAACTACAGTCTCTACCCTGCTCACTGCATGCCCTCTGTGCACCCTGGGGTGGGAGGCCCTCCTCAGCGTGCACCTGCCAGGGAGACACTGGCTCCATTGCTGGGAAAGAAGAGCCCGTGCACCCAGTCCTTATCCCTCCCTTGGTGTCTGTCCCCCTCTCCCCGCTACCCTGGGTCTTGCTGGGGGTCAAGAGAAAGCAAGGGGAGGGCCTGTCCCACCTCCAAACTCTGGAGCCGGCTGGCCTGGTCACTGCGCCCCAACAGCTTCAGCGACCCCTGGGGCATCAGCCACATCTCAAGCGTCTCTGCCGGCCCCTGGGCTGAGGGCTGCACCGCCTGCGTCACCAGGTAGCCCTGGAAATGGTCGTCATAGAAATACAGGTGCACGCTGGACGGCAAGCCCCTGGGCTCAAACCTAAGAAGGTTCCAGCAGGGAGAAAGGGAGATGCCATCAGCACACTCGAGTTGGCCTGGAGTCCCAGGGAGGGGGCTCTGGGGAGTCCCCCATCCCTAGGCACTTCTTTTGCCCCAGATCTCGCACCCACGGCACCTATGTGCCTGGCTCTGGCTCTCACTCGCTTTGTTCTATTTGCATTTTCCCCTGCTTCCGACTGGGGGCTCCCTGGGGCTCCCTGGCTCTTTCTGACTGGCCTCCCCATGGGGTGCCACACGCTGAGGGCCTGCGATATGTCGAAGGGAGGTCTCACCTGCAGAGTGGGGTGGCCAGTGGGGGTATAGCGGTGGCAGCATGGCGCAGGCTGAGGCGGGCGAAGGCGGTGTAAGCGGTGAGCATGACGTCACTGAGCCCACCAGGGCCATCGGCCGCATCATAGGTGTTCTCCCAGTAGGCCTTGAGGGCTGGCGTGCCCGGCGGGTAGCTGCCATACAGGTGGAAGTCCAGGATTTCCAGTACCTCCTGGTTCACAGTCGACTCAAACTTCCGGGCGAAGAAGGTGGGTCTGGAGACTTGCTGGAGCAGGAGAGGCAATGGGGATGAAGGGGTCTGGAGGTCTCAGGCGGTGTAGCTAGGGTTGGGGGGGGCGGCCCTCCTGGCACCTAGCAATCAGGGTCCCGGGACCTTTCCTCCTGCCACTGGAGCCCCAGCCCCCCAGGTTCCCCGAGGTGCTCACCCTGATTCCTTTCTCACAGACAGAGGCTGGGGCCAGGATGGGGCCGGGGGCTGGGACAGGGGGTCCTAGGAAAGCACCTGCAGCCGGAGGAAGTCCTGCGGCTTGAAGTCGTTGGGCGAACAGCCACACCAGTCCACAATGTGCTTGTACTGGCACTTGCAGCCTAGCCTGCGGTTCCAGTTGGTGACGCGCAGGTTGTTGTCCACCAGGCTCTCGCAGGCCGGGCTGTTCTCCAGCACCGTGTGGAAGAAGGACTGCGGGCGGGGTGGAGGGTGAGCCACGGGCACCCTGTCCCACGGCCTCCCTGGCCCGGCTGGGGACATGAGTTACCCACCTCGGCGGGGAGCAGCGTGTACGTGTAGAACTGGCGCAGCTGAGCCACGAGCGGGTCGTCTGTGTATACCACATACTCCACAAAGCTGCGTGTCAGCACGAACCAGTCGGAGCCGCCGTCCACCACGATGCCTGCTGGGATCTGCCGCTCACCCAGGCGCCACATGTGTGAGTCACACTCATGGAAGAGCCGGTCCAGACCCTGTTTCTTGATGAACCTGCAGGTGGCAGACAGGCCATGATAAGGGTCATGGGGGGGGGGTTGGGAGAGGGCAGGCTCTCTTGTGTGCCTAGGGACCAGCAGGCCTCAATCTGGGTGGGCTTGGTTTGTAGGCTCTACAACCTGGCTGCAAGCAGGGCAAGGGGGGGGGGGCTCCCTGACCCCTCACCTGGAGTTGTCCCGGCCATGTGACTTGAGGAAGTTCTTGTCTCGGTTCTTAGACAGGAAAGCCACCAGCTCCTCGTTGGTCCTGGGGAGAGGATGGGGCAGTGTGTCTAAGGGGACTGGCTCAGGCCCAGGGCACACTCCCCACTGGCACCCCTCTGTCTTCGCCCTCTGCCCCTCCCTGCCTCACGGACAGCTGTCCTGACCACATGCCCTGCCCCCAGATGATGCTCTGCGGTGGTGGGCACCTACAGCCCTCCTCCGCCCCTTGCCCTTTGACCATGTGCCCCATGTCTGTCCAGGCCTCTGCTTACTTCCTAGTCTCTTGTCACTCTCAATCCTGACATCACCTTCACCAGCCCCTCCCCTTAAAACAGGGCTGTGGTCCGGGGAGCAGAATGAGGCCTGGGGGAAGGGAAGGAGTCAATCAGGCCCCTCCCATGCCCAGGACCCCCACAGGCCACCTTCTGCTCTGGAGGATTCAGAGCACTGCCCCCTACCTGGTTGGGTAGTCGGTGGCACTAAGATTGATGAAGAAGTCCCAGGCCCAGCCAGGCACCTCCAGCAGGTCCTGCATGCTCCGCAGATACATCCGCAGCAGGCTGGCCCCACCCCAGATGGTGACCATGCGCCAGGGTGTCACCCGCACATTATCATATTGCCGGGCCAGCTCCACCACCTCGCGGTGCAGGTAGTTGGAGCGCTGCGGGGGGTAGGTGGGGGTACTCAGCAGCCGCAGGCCCCCCCCCCCACTAGCATGACAACCTCCCCACCCCATCTCCAGGACAAGTGACATGTAATGGAGAGACTGCAGGGCAGGGCTCCAGCTCCTAAGGGGCTATGTCACCTGTGCTGGCTGTTCTCCACATTCTAGGTCTCCTCTCCTATCTGTGGGTCATCTGAGCAGATCAGAGAGCCTGGCTATCTGTGACTTCTGGGTCTCGATGCTACTCGCTCAGATTCCTGTGTTGTCCCCCCAACAGTACCTTGTCTACATGGATATAAAAGAAATGCTGCTCATGGTAGACAGCCTTGAGGAGACGCTTTAGCTGGCGGATGGCACGGCCATGAACCACCAGCATGTAGGCGATTCGTACTGGGGGGCCGTCCACGGGCTGCTGGGCCCGGACCTCGTCCCACTGGATGCCGGGGTTCATCTTCCCTGAGAGGAGAGAACAGGGCATCAGTGAGGCCCCTCCCCAGGCCACAGGGTGGCAGGGAGGCGGGAAGAGGGACTGCCTGCCTTCCAAGGAAGGACCCTGGACTTGGAGCCTGACACTCCCTGGTCCTAGCTCTGCCCCTGTCGCTTAGTGCACTTTATCGCCAGCTCAGCTAGGGTGGTGGGCCCCTCTGAGCTTCCCTCCTCTGAGAAACGAGAGTGAGGATCCCTGCTGTGCCACCCCCCGGAGGTTACCACCCCTCCGCCGAATGCCTGTCTTATTCTTACCAGCCAGCTGGCAGTGCCGGGGCACAGCCTTGGGCATGAGGTTCCCGGCCTGGTGCAGGCACACCACGTTGGCGATCTCCTGCTGGCACTGCTTGGAGCTGGCCCGGGCCAGTGCGGACAGCGCGTCCTTGCCCACGATCTCACACTTGGGGGTGAAGCCATTGTCCGTGGGCTGAGGGGCGCCCTCCACACTCCCCGTGTCTCCATGTGGTGGAAAGCCAGCCGCCCCGACCAGCGCCTCCCCGGCTGCCGCCCCGCTCAGGTTCTGGCGGCCGGGGGCCTCCGGGGGCGGGGCCGGTGGGACCCGGCGGCTGGCCCTGTGCCGGCTGGTGACAGCCCGGACCACCTTGGCCACGGGCATGCCCGGGCTCTCAGCACGGCCCCGCCAGCGCCCATGCCTTCTGCCTGCGCTGCCGCGCCGCCCGGCTGAGCTGTCCGTGTCCTTGGAGCCCTCGCCGGGGTCCAGGGGCCGTGGCTTCCTCTGCCTTCCTTTCTGTAGAAGACAGGCAGACCCAGGTCACAGGGACGGTCACTGTCCTCCTGCCCTGTAGCTCCCCTGCTCGCCTCAGGCCTACAAGACCTCACCCTGAGGCCTCACCCTCTGCCCCGAGGGGTGCCATTCATTGGAGGACTCTGCACAAGGAATGCTTCCCCTGGGAGGCCTCCCTGACTTACCAGGGAGGAGGTGCCATCTGCCCTGTGGCCCCACTGCCCCACATCCCCACATGCTCAGGCCACAGGGCACTGTGTCCACCTTGTACTTTTGAATCAGACACTGCTCTTTTTTTCAGCAAATATGAAAGTGAAGGTCTGCATATGTCACAAAAGAAAGGCATGGAGACCCTGCAGAGGACGCAGGAGTTCCAGCCAGGCCCCGGGTGGGGACAGGGAGGAAACAGGAGACAGGAGGAAAGCATTCTACCAACTACAGCGTTTCCACGTGGCAGTGCAGAGGCCATGAGAGCCAAGGGGCCTCGCCTGCTGGGGAGCACGGGGAAGCCTGAGACCCTGATTGGTTGGCTTCTCTGGGAGCCAGAGACCAAGGTGGAGTTGGAGTGCGTGACTCTCACCGGGTTCACACCTACAGACGATGTGGGGGGGGGGGGGGGCAGGAGTCGCAGGCCGAGCCTGAGACTGCCAAGCCAGCCTGCCCCTGGTGTTAGAAGGGACAGAAGGGAGAGCTTCAGACAACACCGCAGCCCGGGACAGCCTTGGCCAGCTGGTGGGAACGGTGCAGACGGCCGGGAACCACTGCCGCACGCAGGCACTGGCCGGAAGGCTGAGGCAGGGCCGCAGGGCACCCGCGGCTGGAGGCTGCTACCTAACTGCTCCTCCAGGTGCTTCTTCCTAGAAGGGAAATCCCGGCTGCCACACCCGCCTCCTGGCTCCTATGTCTCTCCTCCAGCCAGGTACTCCCCTAGATGGCCCAGCACACCTGATTCCCCCTCTCCCTGTCCCCCTTCTCGGCACCCCTCCTTTTTGGACCAAATCCCACCCATCCTCCAAGATCCAGCTCCAAGTCCCCAATGTGAACCATCCCATTTGCCCGGGAGGGGAACATTCCTCCGGCAGGCTGGGCTCCCAGGTGAGGGACCGTCACCCCAGCCCCATCTCCCCCTGTCCAGCAGAGTAGCTGGCACCCAGAGGACACGTGGCTCCTGTCTGCTGGCTGAGATGACTCCCCCCCCCAGGCTGCCGACCTTCTCTGAGCAGGTAGGGAAGGAGGTGGGAGCGTGAACGAGACAGAGAGTGAGCTAGTGTGCTGGAAGGAGCTGTGACGGCCATCTGCCGCGCCCTCACCATCCCCTGGGACCCCTCCGTGGGCCTCCCCACCCACGCACCACAGGCCTCGCCTTCTCTGGCCTGGCCTCTCGACAGACAGCATGACCTGCCGGTCCATAGCAGCCTCCTCACTAGACCCCCAGCTGCCCTCCTGGGGCTTCTGCTGCCTCCCCCGCTGCCTTGGCCCACTCTCCTTGGTCTCCCCAAGGCCCCTCTGGGGCCCTTCCTGACCCTCGCTTCCCGGGGGGACCTGAGTCCAGCCACTCTCGGGTTTCTCCCCCTGGCCTGGACTTCTCCCTTGAACCTTCAGGTGTTTAAATGCCTGCCTGCCCCTTCAATATCTCCCTTGGGAACTTGATAGACCTTTCGAACCCACGAGTCCAAAAGTGAGCTCCTCCACTTCCTCCCCGACCTGTTAATGGCGACCCTCTCTTTCAGGTCGTTGGGGGGAGTCATCTTGACTCTAGTTTCCCTCAGACCTCACATCGATCCCTCACCAGTAAGCCCTGGTGGGGCCACCTTCATGATACATCCAGAGTCTCACCACCTCTCCCGACCTCCATCACCACCACCCCTGCCCAGCGTCCCTGGTCCCCCTGCTCCTCCTCCGGCTTCCTGATGGTCTATTCCCATCACAGCAGCCCGTGTTCCTGTTAACACAAGCCCCACCTCACCGCCCCTCTGCACCAAACCACCCATGGCCTTCCCTCCAAGGGCAAACCCCAAAGGCCCTCCAAGAGCCTACAGAGGCTCCGGGAGCTGTGTCTGGCCACCCCTCCCTTTCTGATCTCATCTTCTACTAACCTCTCCTCACACTCACTCTCCTCCAGCCACAGCGGCCTTCTCAGTGTCCCTCCACACTACCTGCCAGGCACTGTCCCCTGTGCCTGGAATGCCCTCCCCTAGAGGTCCCCACCACCCAGGCCTTGCCCCCTTCAATTCTCTGCTCAGATGGCATCTTCCCACCAAGACCCACCCTGATCCACCGGGTGCAAACTCCAGCTCTCCTTCATCCTCTGCTTCATTTTTCCCACAGCACTTACTTCCTTCTCTCATGCTAGAAGGTATTAATTGCTTCTGTGTTATTCTGTGTCTCTCCACTCACGAGAACGTAATGTCCATGAGGACCGGGCTTGTGTTGTTTTGTTCACTAATGCATTCCAAGAGCCCAGAAGAGTGTCTGGGAATGGGAGACACTCCATAAATATTGGCTGAATGAATGAATGAGAGTAAAGCTCTTGGTACAGGCTCAGCATTCCATAGATGCTGACACCATTATTATTATTATTATTATTATTATTATTATTATTATTATTATTATCACTATTACCATCACTGGAATAGGATTAGGACATTGTCAAATGGGAGGTCAGGAGAGGCGCCAAGACCCTCAGACATTTTGGACTCAATTGGGTTGAGTTTTCCCTGTTCCTCCCCCTGCTCCCGTCAGAGCACAGGAGGCACCTCGAGTGTCAGGCTGACAGCTACCTTAGGGCCAGACCCCCTATTCCACCCAAGCACCTATGCTCTCTGTGTACGGCACCCAGCCAGCCCTCTGATCTCTCGAGAGGAGCCCGATGAGAGCTAGGGGCGTCCACTGCCAACTGAGGAGACACTGCAAGAGGGAAGGCAGGGTGGGAGAAGGAAGATCTCCCCACGCACGTTGGGGAGGGCAGCCAGGAAGGGTGACTGCAGCTCCATGGGGCTGAGTGTACGTCAACCAGGTGACATCTGACCTGGCTACATGGTGGGCACGGAAAGACATTCCCGAGCTTAGGTGGCTAGAGATGGCAGAGAAACTGTGGGATCTTGGGTGGAAGCTGGTACCAACAAGACAGGAAGCTGGTCAAGAGGGCAGGGCATGGGGCACACGGCCAGGCTGGCTGCGGTGGGGGACAGGATGTGGGAGGAGATGGACCGCTTGGTGTCCTGCACTGCAGCAGGCCGATCCTGAGAAGGTCAATCCCAAAGAAAGCTGGGGGACCTGAGGGTAGCAGTGACAATGGGGCAGTGGTCCCTGTTAGATGGCCAGCCCCCACCTCCCCCTCCTCCCACCAGTGATCATATGGGCATCAGCAGGGCCCCATACTTGTGCTCCCAAAGGGACTTTCCCCAGTAGCCCTGAGGTCAGGGTGCCCTTTGATTACTGGCCCTCTGACCTCTGGCCTGGGTGCCTTCAGGCCTTCGAGGATTCCTCTGCCCTCTGAGGAGGCATTCAAAGTCCTGGCCACTTTGCAGCTCTGCAGTCCTCCTTGGTACCCTTCTCTGAGCCCCAGAGACAGAGAACACAGAATCACTTACCCCACACCCCACCACCTTCAGACTTCTCAGCCTGTGTTTAAAGTAAGTGGTGAGACCATGTTTGTGAAAGCTTTTAAAACCCTAAAGTGGCTCTTTGGATGTTAATGGTCAGCCCTAGTCTCCACTCTAGCCCCTGCACAGATGGGCAGAATGTGCATCTGAAATGCACATCTGGCCCCACCACCCTCCTGCTTCACTTACAACCCCTCCCTCGGGGTCTCTAGGATGTGCCCCAGACTAGCTGTTGAACCTTCTTCCCGAGAACATGCCACACCCTCCTTCCCCTTCCTCAAAGACACCAGCCAGCCACGCCCATTCTCTGCAGGGCCTCTACCCAGACTCTGTCCCCCTTGTCCCCAGGATGACTGGCTTCTCCAGCACATGAGCTGCTTCCCAGCAAAGCCTCCCCCCATCACCCAGCTCCACCAACCCCCTTGATACTGAGTTTCCTTTCCACTTTCAGGCTCTCCCTGTGTACCATCTCTCCAGCGCCTGGGCCTCCTTGTCTACGTTGTTTATTTCTGTATCCCCAGTCTTAGCCCAGTGCCTGCTAGGAAGTGTGAGTTAACAAACATTTGTTGACTGACTGACCAACTGGATGGATGAATCCCTATTCCCAGTGTGCACAGCCAAGATAATATTTACTGGTGGCTCAGTGAGCACCAGGAACTCCTGTAAATACTTCACGAGCATCATTTTCTCTTGATCTTCATGATCACCCAGCGAGAGAGGTGCTACCAGTACCCCCTCTTGAGGAGGGACACTGCCGAGGACACGGAAGGAGGTTAGGAGACATGCCATGCCTGTGGTCTTACTGCCACTTAGCAGCAGTGTGGGAAGAAGACCTGGGATGGGGAGGTGGGGCGGTCGGTCGCATGCTGGCGCCCACTTTCCTAGGCACCCTTCCACAATGCCTGGCTACCCCCAGCTTGGACGATGTGGCTGCTGAATGGGTCCAAGCACTGATGGCTGCCTGGACTGCACAACCTTTAGGTCACTGAGGATCTTTTCCGTTCCAGTCCAGTCCAGCCCTAGCAGCTTCTGCCAGGAACCTGGACAAGGAGGTGGGGAGGTGGGATCCCAACTACTCTACTGCCCCAGTTCTCCACCCCAGGCTGTGGGCAGGGCAGCAGGGATTCGAGGCCTGGACAATCTCTTGGCCCATTCAGAGACTCACAGACTCAGGGCCATTGGTTTCTGCGAAGCCTCAGATGTTGTGTCATGGCCCTCACCAGAGTGGTCACCGGCCTCTGCTAACATACTCTGGGGTCCGAGCACTAACTGCCTTCGGAGAATGTCTCAGCTGCTCAGACAGTCTTCTTACACTGACCCCAAAAACACTTCTCGTCCTCCTCCTCCTTACTGGTCCACACAGAACAAGCTCACTCCGCTCGGGTGTCACAGAATCAGGCTTTTCCTGACCCCACTCAGCTCCTTTTGGAGTTATGGTCTCACATGACTCTGTTACAGCTCCTGCACCATCCCAGCCTCTTGGTTCTCTCCCAAACCATAAGGGCAGTCCTTCTCCCAGTCTCCGCAACAGGCCTTCCAGACTGCCCAGCTGTAGGAAGGGTAAGGGGACATGGAGGCTCCCTGGCCTTCACACTGCCAGGTGGAGAGGCCCAAGAGGACATGGCAAGCAGAACATCTGACTCTCCGCCCTAGAGGCACCAGAAACAAGGGGGTGGGGGTATGGGCACAGAAGCCCTGCCCTCTGGCCCACAGCTTAGGGCCAGGGTTTGGCCTAACTCCTGGACCTTCCAGGATGGCACATACCCCACTGGACCCTTCTGGACCACCGTGGTAGGGGACGTGTCTGGGCCTCCAGCTGAAACCAGTCAAGAGTGAGTGACACTCTCAGAGCAGGGACCTGGGTACTGAGCTGGCCAGGTTTGTCCCTTCTTTGGGGCCTGAGGCTCTGCTAACCCAGCTGATGCTATCCCCATTCCCTAAGAGCTAGAGCCCACCCACACTCAGTTCCCTGATGTCCTGGGGCTACTCACCAGCTCACTTCCCCCAGTCATCTCCTCCTGAAGACCCCCACCTTTCTTCAGACCCCAGGCTAAGAAAGCCATGCCCGGGGGACACTCCAGTTCTCTCCCTTGGGGTCACTCCCTGTTCCCTCAGTTGCCGGACTGACTTCCAGCCCCGGGCTCCACTTCTCCAGCAGCGGCTGCCGCTCAGGCGCGGCTGGGCGCGGACGCCCGGGGTCCCCCGGCCCCGCTCCTCCGCCCACGACGCGCACACCCCCGCCCCCTCCCAACTTCAGAAAGTTTGGCCTGGGGCTCCCCACCTCCGAGCAGGCTCGGGCCCGGCCCCGCCTCCCGGTCCTGCTCCCGGCGCCTGACCTTCAGAGCTCCCCGGTCCGGAGACCACCCCACCAAGCCCCGCTCCTCCCGCGCGGGCCCCCGTCCGCCGCGGCCCGGGCCTCCGGGTCACGCACCGCCCCCGCGCGCAGTCCCCGGGGCCCTCCTGGGAAAGGGGCGCCAGGGGGCCGATGCCCGCTCCCGGCGGCCGCCCGCGCCGGCACGCACGCGGCCGGTGCCCCACTTCCCGGCCGGGGCCGCCCGCAGCCCCACCAGGACCCCGCGCGCCCCCGCGCCGGCCTGCCCGCCCGCCCGCCCGCCCGGCCGTCGGAGCACCTCGCCCGGCTCGTCCTCCTCCAGGCCGCTGAAGCTCCACACCACCAGGCCCTGCAGCAGCAGGATGGCCAGCGCCGTGGCGATCGCCAGCTTGTAGCGCCGCACCAGCTTCTGCACCCGCGCGCTCGCCACCATCTTCCTGCCCGGGACGCGGGGCGCGCGCCCAGCCCTGCAACCCGGCCGCGGGCGCGCGCCTGGGCGCGGACCGAGCCGGCTCCCCCCAAGGAGGCGGGCCGGGGGCGGGGCCTGGGGCCGCGGGGCCGCCTCCCCGGCGGTGCCTTCCCGGTCTTCGCCCGCGGCGGCTCCTGCACGCGCTCACCTGCTCATGGGCAGAAAACCCGCCGCCCGACCTCCCTCGCCGCCTGGGGTCGCGGGGTGGGGGTGGGGGTGGTGGGGGGCAACTCAGCTCCGTGCAGATTAGCTCTCCGCCCCGGGCGCGCAGAGGATACTAGAGCTCCCAGGAACGCCGAGATGGGAGAGGTTGTGTAAGCGCGACAGGCCCCTGCTTAAAGCCCTGGAGGCCTCACTAGCTGGGCAAAGTCTAAACTCCCCCCCCCCCCGCCTTGATTGCACGCGAGGCCTTGCACAAAGCCCTGTTTCCTCTCGCCTCTTTTCATCCTAAGGTTCTTTTTTTTTTTTTTTATAAGGTATCCACAACTACTTTTTTTTTTAAGATTTTATTTTTTATTTATTCAGAGAGAGAGAGAGGCAGAGACACAGGCAGAGGGAGAAGCAGGCTCCATGCAGGAAGCCCGACGACCTGGGACTCCATCCCGGGTCTCCTGGATCACACCCCAGGCTGCAGGCGGCGCTAAACCGCTGCGCTGCCACCGGGGCTGCCCTCATCCTAAGGGTCTTAAGACCTCTCCTAGAGCCATGGTTCCCAAATCCTAGGGTGCATCGGAAGCACCTGGAGGACTTGATAAAACAGATTGCTGCTCCCCATCCCCAAAGTTTCTGTTTTAGTAGGTCGGGAGTGGGGCCCCGAGAATTAGAATTTTCAACAAGTTCCCAGGTGATGCCGATGCTGCTAGTCTGGGACTACACTTGGAAAACCATTAGACCTTTGCATATCTGTTTTCTGTGCCAAGTGCTAGCAGCTGTTCCCTGCCTCCGTCCTCTTCTCAGTCCATGGCATCCCTCCCACCAAGTGTTTCCCCAGCACTGCGCGGTGGAGCACTAACTATATAGACAGGTGTGATTTCTCTGGAATCATGCGTTATTCACCTTTGAATCCTTGAGCTGACATTGGACACCCAGCAGTGCTCAGTAAATGTTGCAAAAGAAAGAGGAGGTGAAGCCCAACTTGCTGTTTAAACAGCTGACCCTAACAGTTTTTGAGGGTCTGGCATGTTCAAGCACCGTGTAGACAAGGTCTGGGTGCCAGCAGCCCTCCCGTGAACCTGGCATACCCACGGAGAGAGGGAAGAGAAGCCAGAAAGCAGTGCCCATCAAAGCAAGGTGCAGGCCCAACTGATGAAGCCAAGCAGCATGAGAACGAAGCAATAAAAAGAGCAAACCCAAGATTGAAGATTTAAAATAAAGACTGTAAGATCCACTACAGAGGGGTCTGGAAGAAGAAATAGTTTAAAAAGATTTTTTTTTTATTTTTATTTTTTGGAAGGCAATGTTAAAGGGGTTTGGAAGTTGCCAGGCCATAAACTTGGTGAAGGAATTCTAAGCTGTGATGCGTACAGGAGATCCAGTTATTTGATGGCACTTAAATAAAACCTCTTTTAATCATCTCCAGCCCCTTTGGTATTTGTAATCATTCCATTCTTAAGCGTTAGTTAAATGGGAGAATTGTAAACAATGTTTCAGATGACAGTTTGGCTACTTAAGAGAGCCTATACCTCAAGGATTTTGGAAAACATCAGTTGACATGCCAGCAATTGATATGTTAATTAAATATTGATCTTATGTGCTCATTAAATCAGGTTCCCTAGGGACTTCTACCTGCCAATACTGCCCCCCCCACACACACGGACTATGAAAACCATAGCTCTATTTTCCACTGATTATTTATATTATATTCATTATATAACATTTAAAACAGAAAAAATAAGGAATAAACTAAAAGTCACCTATAATCCCATCCCTCAAGATAATCATCATTAATATTTTGGTGACCATCTTTTCCTTCATCTGTTAATGTGTTTATGATTTCGGAGGGATAGGGTCATATTACACACATAGTCTTTAAATATTTTTAAGTATTTTTCTCCCTTTCCCCCCATGTTCACAGCTTGGTTTACTCGCTTGCTTCTTTCCTTCGTAACTTCCTTCCATCTTTCTCCTAATAATTCACACGCGTGTGTGTGTGTGCATGTGTGTGTGCACACTTTTTTTTACTTGGGATCATTTAAAAAGCTGAATCATATTATGTTCACTTCTCTGCATCTTGCTTTTATCCCTTAACCATAAATACATAATAGAAGTTCCCCCAAGTCAGCTGACACAGATCTAATCCATTTTTTTAAGATTGATTTATTTACTTATGATAGAGAGAGAGAGAGAGAGGCAGAGACACAGGCAGAGGGAGAAGCAGGCTCGATGCCGGGAGCCCGACGCAGAATTCGATCCCGGGACTCCAGGATTGGGCCCTGGGCCAAAGGCACGTGCCAAACCGCTGAGCCACCCAGGGATCCCCTAATCCATGCTTTTTTTAAAGGCTGCGTAAGAGTCTACCCTTTCTTGAATGGGCATTCACTTGGTTTCCAGCTTTTGCCACTATTATAGGCTGTAGTAAACCTGGTTCTATGCAAATCCCTATGCACTGATGCTTTTATTTCTAAGGTGGGGTTTCCCACGGGCTTACCAGAGAAAAGAGCATTTAAAATTTTAATAGCATTGCCAAATTGTTTTCCCCAAATGCTCTGACAATTCACATTTGCAACAGCGATGAACGAGCCTATTACCTTCCTGCATCCCTTCCAGCAGCAGGTATTATTGCTGTTTTTAAGTTTTGCTAATCTAATAGGTGAGAAGTGACCTCTCCTTGGCTTTTTTTTTTTTTTTTTTTTAGATTTTATTTGAGAGTGAGAGAGAGAGCATGAGCAGGGAAGGGACAGAAGCAGAGAGAATCTCAGGCAGATGCCACGCTGAGCATGGAGCCCAATCCTGAGATCATGACCTGAGCTAAAATTGAGTCAATCGCTTAACCAACTGAGCTGCCCAGGCACCCCTACATTTAAGGCTTAATCCACTGGAATTTGTTTTGTGTATGGTATGAGGCAGAGGTGTGGAAGTCTTTTTTTTAGCACTTATAGCTGATCACTCAGTGCCCGTTTAGATTTTCTAATTTTTGTAACACACTTATGACTGAGGTATAACACACATAGATCGAGTTCAGTTGAACCATAGAAAATTTGAGGTTCTTTGCAACCCACTGTCTCCTCTTTCCTTTAGGTTCCCCCTATAGCTGCCATTGTGCTTTTTTTCTTTTATTGTAGAGGATTCTTGAAAATACAAAATAGCTCCTTAGAAAATCAGAACAGGAAAGCATTTTTTAAGTTTAAGTGGGCTGCTTGTATGAAATATTCTTTCTTGTGTGAAGGCTTTCTCCTTAGAGTCTTAGTTTTAGGAGCTATTTATGAGACATGGATACTGAATGTTTTCAAATGCATTTTCAGCAGCTAGAGTCCAAACTTGACTTAGGACCAGAGGGCATGCAGGCCCCTGCAGTAAAGCCCCGAGGCTATGCCTCCAAGCATCTCCTGAGGCTCTGCCTCCTTGCCTTAATCTGGTTTCCTCCTGTCTATCTAGTTCCTTGGATTGACACTTCACTGGGCTGTCTGCTGGGCCTGCTGCTGGCCTCACCCCCAGATGCTACCTTTGGGACATCCCCTCCAGTCCATGCCCAACCCAGCTTCAGATCCCTGGGCTTCTGCTTGTCAAAAAATAAGTTCTAACATCTATTGAAAGGATCATATGGATTTTTCTTTTTTTTAATATGGATTTTTCTAATGTGACCTGTTGAGATGATGGATTATTTAAAAAGAATCACATATCAAAACATTTTTGCATCTCTTAGAGTAAGTGTAACTTGGTCTTAGTAGATTTTTTAGTCTTTTCTTTTAAAGATTTTGTGTATTTATTCATGAGAGACACAGAGAGAACGAGAGGCAGAGGGAGAAGCAGTTTCCATGCAGAGAGCCAGATGTGGGACTCGATCCTGGGTCTCCAGAATATCACGTCCCGGGTTGAAGGCAGGTGTCAAATCGCTGAGCCACCCAGGCATCCCTTAGTAGATTTTTTTTTTTTTTTTAATGATAGTCACACACACAGAGAGAGAGAGGAAGAGACATAGGCAGAGGGAGAAGCAGGCTCCATGCACCGGGAGCCCGACGTGGGATTCGATCCCAGGTCTCCAGGATCGTGCCCTGGGCCAAAGGCAGGCGCCAAACCGCTGCGCCACCCAGGGTTCCCGATTTTTTTTTTTAAGATTTTATTTATCCATTCATGAGAGACACAGAGAGAGAGGCAGAGACACAGGCAGAGAGAGAAGCAGGCTCCATGCAGGGAGCCCGACGTGCGACTCGATCCCGGGGCTCCAGGATCATGCCCAGGGCCGAAGGCAGGCGCTAAACCGCTGAGCCATGCAGGGAGCCCCCCCTTAGTAGATTTTTTTTAAAAAAGGATTTTATTTATTTATTCATAAGAGACACACAGAGAGAGGCAGAGACATAGGCAGAAGGAGAAACAGGGGCGGCCCAGGTGGCTCAGCGATTTAGCCCTGCCTTCAGTGCAGGGCCTGACCCTGGAGACCTGAGATGGAGTCACACGTCAGGCTCCCTGCATGGAGCCTGCTTCTCCCTCTGCCTGTGTCTCTGCCTCTCTCTGTGTGTGTGTCTCTCGTGAATAAATAAATAAAATCTTTAAAAAAAAAAGGAGAAGCAGGCTCCATGCAGGGAGCCTGATGTAGGACTCAATCCCAGGACTCCGGGATCACACCCTGAGCCAAAGGCAGACACTCAACCACTGAGCCACCCAGGTGCCCCTAGACTTTTTTTTTTTTTAATTGTAACATAGATTGACTTGAACTTGCTCGTATTTTATTTAGGACTTTTGCATCTATGTTTACAACAGACATCGACCTACACCAGAAGCTGCAGAACTGGTGACTCATAGGACTTGTATATTTGAGCAGCACAGGGCTTTGAAATGTTTGGTTT